GGCGAGCGGCAGAGTTTCTGTGTTGGGAAGAGCTGCAATTTGCGCCGACTGAACTGCGGAGAGCCAGCAAACCGGTTTTATGCTCGGCTCAGAGTTACCCGCCTTTTCTAATGAGGTATATAGCAGCTCGCGACTGGCTGACACCAAGACGCATGACCTGTAAAGACTTGTAACCGAACATTAGCTTTCTTGTAATCAACGACAATACGCCATGTCAGGGTCCGTCATATCATTGCGACATGACTCTCCCGGCCGGCCGTTTGTACGCGTGTGTCGAAACGCATGCGCAGAAATGCACGCGTTCGCCATAGCGCGTCGCGCTAATTACCGTAGTCAAGAAGTCATCATCATCATTACGTATATACTTTAGCCGCAGTTGCCTTTAGCTGTCATGTGTCAACTTAATTTCATCATTACAGCAAAATGGTGTAGAGATAAAAAGCTGGCGAGTGGCGACCAAGATTCGTAGTCAGGAACTTAAATATCAGCGCCTATGGCTATTGGTGCGTATATCATTCTCTTGTGGGCAAAGTTAGTTTTTGATGCACCCTCCCGTCAGAGAGGGCATTAACTATCAGTGTTGTCATATATAGCTGCAAATCCTACGATAGAGATCACTCGTGCTTTGTGACAATATAGGGCTTGTGTAGAGGAAAATTTACACGGGCAAGAAAGATGTGGCTAACCATCATCCATCGTACTACTGCATTATGCACATGCACTACATACACTGTGCCATCCCTGTCTTGTCTCCTTGCTTTTTATGGCATCCCTATAATTGTTCCACAATATTTTTATAATTCGAAGAATTTTTAATGTGGAACCAGACACCATTTTTTGCTCAAGTATACCTGCAGCTCTGGCTCGTTCGAACAATGGAAACAAGGCAAGAACAAGCTATGTAGGAAGGCTTCATTTCAGCTAAGCCTCGATACATAATTTCAATTAGAACATCCTCCAGTAATGCTCAAAATCTGTGTGATTTAGCTATATGCTATAGTTTGCACTATAGACAGCCACATAGCGTGAGGTCTAAAAAATTGTGTGATCCCCATCTCAACACAGACCACGACAGCTGTATGAGCTGAGAGTATATTAGAGCTGAGAGTATATTATAGCTAGAGTTTGAGAGTGACAGCAGACATTGTGTGGTTGGGTCGGGGTGTTAGCATTTTCACAATCAGTCATGTCAATCTTCTTTTCCTCCGTTCGCACTAAAGCTCCCAGTAATTGATGTGATACTTCAGCTCCTCCTTGGTCCACGAGCCTCCGATAGTCCCCAAAATGGGCTCCCCAGCCCTGGAGAGAGGTGTCGGTTACCATAGTCAACTGTGCTGCATGGATACCAGGAGTTGAGATTGTGTCATTTCAGCGGACTGTACTTTCTTTTAGAGCCGCAGCAGATCATGTGTGTCAACTTTATTTTATCATTTCACAACAAAATTATGGAGAGATAAAAAGATGCGACCGAGTTATCAGGAACCTCTTTTTCTGCAATCAGCGGAGGGGTAAAGAGCAATAAAATTCCTACAGGTGCTTATATCGCTTGCACAGCTTTTCTAGGTTATGGTCTGTGCGACTGTAGCGTGTGCATGAACTGCATGACAAGCATAAATCCTGAAGTTTTTCACATGCAGCCTAACTGAGCTATACGTAAGTAGATATCCGGCAAACTTAGTTGTTGCTTTGCGCGACAAGCTATAACCAGCCCCGCGGCGCAGCATGTATCAATTGAAAGGGAAGACCCTGTATTTCGAGACTTTATTCGTGCTGTGCACACGCCTCATGGGCTTACATCTACGTGAGGTGCGTGACTGGGAGCCACGATGCCTGACAACCACTGCAAGAGGCTGTATTTTCAAGACATCACAATGTGTGTTTGTGATGTTCGATTACAAGTCATTGTTCAGGGCTTCATCAGGTCGCGCGTTTTGGTGTCGGCAAGTCTTATATAGCTAGCGCGTATATAGTCTCGTGCTTTGTGGGCGGGGTCTGCGCACGACACTAATAGCGCTCTCGCGCACAGCGATCGTGAGCGCCGAGAATAAAAGCGGTTCGCTGGCTCTCTGCAGTTCAGTCGGCGCAAATTGCAGCTCAGCCGCTCGCCATCTCCGCAACCAGCAGCGCCGACTCTTCGCCTTTCTCCGAGATTACTCGCGAAGTTCCTCAGAGCTGCAATGGACTGGCCAGTCATGTCGGCGAGACCGCCATCTCTCCACTGTACGTAGTCTCCACCTTACCCCGCAGCTAGCCTAGCGTTCACCTTCTTTTGTCCCCCTCCAGATCTACCTGCTCTCCTCTCTGCGCATACGTATGGCAGGTAGCTATACAGCTACGCCTCAGAGATGATGCGGCCAAACCCTTTTTTCTCACAGGCGGATCTACGGCGCTCCCATCGACCCGCCGACCCAACGACTCGACGACCCGACGACTCAACGAATCGACGACTCAACGAAGACCCATCCATGGGTCCTGGTAATATTTTTGTTGGTTGCCCTTGAGGAGGGTTCTGTTTTTATTTTTGTATTTATTCATCGTCATTTCATCACTCACTTATTTTTACTTATTTTTATATTTATTATCGTATGTATGTTTCTACATTCATTTTGTTAACTCTTTTTTTTCTTTCCTTGTTGGTTGCCCTTGAGGCGGGTTTGAGGAGGGTTCTGTTTTTATTTTTGTATTTTTATTTTTAATTCATCATCATTCTTTTATTCATCATCATTTATTTTTCATTTATATATTTATTATTGTATGTATGTTTCTACATTCATTTTGTTAACTCTTTTTTTCTTTCCCTGTAGGTTCTTCTAAGTAGGACCTAGGCAAGCACCCTACGCCAGCCTTGCATGCATTTTCTTCCGATGTACCTAATGCATGCTTGGTTTCCTAGCTGCTGAAGATGTCGCTACCTCTCCACACATTAATGTATGTTAACTTGCCCTCATTTTCCTATCCAGAAACTGGTCCACTTGCTCTCCTCACTGCACACTCATCTGGCAGGTAGCTCTATGGCTACATCTTCGAGATGATGCCGCCAAACTGCTGTTTTTCTGTTACACAGACGGAGCTGGATCTACGGCACTCCCATCGACCCACCGACTCATCGATCTCATCGACCCGCCGACTCGACGACGACTCGACGACCCATCCATGGGTCCTGGTAATTTTTTGTTGGTTGCCCTTGAGGCGGGTTTGAGGAGGGTTCTGTTTTTATTTTTGTATTTTTATTTTTAATTCATCATCATTCTATTTTTCATTTATTTTTATACATATTTATTATTGTATGTATGTTTCTACATTCATTTTGTTAACTCTTTTTTTCTTTCCCTGTAGGTTCTTCTAAGTAGGTCCTAGGAAAGCACCCTACGCCAGCCTTGCATGCATTTTCTTCCGATGTACCTAATGCATGCTTGGTTTCCTAGCTGCAGAAGATGTCGCTACCTCTCCACTGGTAACATTGATGTATGTTAACTTGCTCCCTTTTTCCTCTCCAGCCTCATCGAGCCTTATCGAGCCTCGTCTTAGAAACTGGTCCACTTCACCACATTCTCGTTGCCTCCCCTGACAGACTGCGGACGTCGTTGCACTCCTCCCTCTCCAGTTCCCGATGGCACCGCCTCACGACTAGTGCGAGGACGACTCTCTCTCTTCCAGTCTCCACACACGGACTCCTCCAATCTGTCATCTCCCTCTCCTGACGAATTCTCTGGTTCCCGGGGTCTGCTCTCCGACCCTCGTTACACCGCCTCTTGGGGTCTTCGAGGTCTCCGTTCTCCGGGCTTCAAGGTCTTCTACTCTTCACTTTAGTCTGGGTCTTCAGGGTTCTACTCACCGGGTCTTCAAAGGTCGTCATCTTGTCTTCTTGGCGGTGGTGTAACGAGTGATGTCGGAAAGGAGTCCTGTCTGGGATCCAGAGTCTCTTGTCGGGAGAGAGAGCTGGCAGATTGAGGGAGTCTGTGAGGAGACGAGAGGAGATAGAGTCTTCCTCCGCTGGTCGGGGCGTGGTGTCAACGTGTGGGGTGGTTTGGGAGAGACGTGCAGCAGTCTCGATGTGGTCGTCTTCATCAATGTGGTGGAGTGGACTCTGAAGCCTGGCCTTAGACTTCAAGACTCGAGAAAGCCTTCACCGTAGTCTTCATCGAAAGCATACGCAGCAAGTCATCTTTCAACCGGTATTCTTTTCGTTTTTTTACTTAGGTGTTTTTGTAGGTGAGCCTCTGCCTTAGGCGCTGTCTTCTAGATGCATGTGTGCCTTAGGTGCTGTCTTCTAGATGCATGTGTGCCTTAGGTGCTGTAGAAGTTTGCATGAGAGGGCGGGCGGGCGGGGGCCAAAGATGTGACAATACCTTCGCGTGGGTTTTGGCCGTTACGCCTGACATCTCCTGTGCAGCCAACAGTAAAAGACTTAGGACTCAGTCTGCACAGGTCATGCCAGGCAACCAAACTTGTCGCATTGAGTCGGCTAGCTCACCTCCGGGTGAGTTACCGGCTCATAAAACTTACCCTCCCGCCCACCCTCTCAAAATTGAAGCCTGAATTGAAGTTTACTTTGGACAGTCGACACAGACGATCACTTTTTGATGGTTCTGAAGACTCTCATCTTTCTAATGCTAGGTGAGTCACTACTTTTGCCTAAAGGCACTGTCTACAATAGTATTTATTTTTTCTCCCTTTCGGCAGTCGTGACTGAAGCTGGAGCAGAGTGGGAGAATCCTCTGATCGTCTAAATGGCTGATGCTGACCAAACCGGAGCTGAATGAAGAAGTGTCTAAATATCAGACTAAAGACCATTTGCTGAACATACCGCCCTGAGAACTTCGCCTCACCGCATCTCACTTTCTACTGCTGCTATATAAGACTGTTGGATGCTGAGCCGACTGAAGATCCTCTGTTGAGCTGAGCACTGACTGAATGGCTGCTGGAGTGCGGGTGGGCTGACAAAAGACCATAAGCTATTCTCTCTGTTGGTGTTGAAATAATATCTGATTCACAAAATCTCACTGGCCTTTCTACTTCTCGTCCACACGAACTATAGCTAGCTATGAATCAGACAGCTAATAATTTTCTAATCCCAGAGTGACACAGTAAAACCCTCCAAATCATGAGATTCAGTACATCTGCACAGGTCATGCCAGGCACCAAACCAGTGAGACGGATTCTTAAACGCAGTGTAGCTACATAATATGGCAATTGCTTAACAAAAAACACACGGATGTTTGGTTAATGCACTATGCTTCTGATACGTTGATTTTCTGCGGGCGTGTTTGTTCGGCTTGTTCTAGTTTCAGTTTCAGTTGAGTCTTTCTGTGTCGAAGGTCCTCCAGTGACGACTGTGTTCTCTGCAGCTGCTCTTCTAGAGTCTGGATGACAGGGCCGCACACCACCTGCTGGATATGTGTCAGTCTCTGGGTGTAGACTGAAGGGAGGGAGGGAGGAAGGGGGGAAGGGATCAGGAAGAGAGGAGGGAGGGAGGGAGGGGGGAAGGGAGGAAGAGAGGGAGGGAGGGAGGGAGAAGGGAGAAGGAGAAGAAGGGATGGGGAAGAAATACACAGGGAGAGTGATAGCACACTTTAGCCCAAACCACAAAAATTATCATCTCAAAATACCTGCTCCATTGTGAATCTTAGTCAGAAGATCATTCTCGCAATATCTGAAGAAAAGATGATGTAATAACGACGTAATATCAGTGACATGATGATGACATAATGCCTGTGAGACCTCTGGCAGGTGGCGTAGCTCTCCTGTTCTTCTTCCAGAAGAATCTCAGGAAGATGAGCCAGGGCTGACACACAAGCCCCTGAAAGAGTGGAGTGCGGTGACGGCAGGATCTTTACAGGCAGCTGCAGATACTCCAGTCTATGAGGAGAAGGGGGAGGGGTAACTCATTGTCTTTCATTCGAGGATGTCCCTTAATGTACAAGGGTGGACATATTCCCATTGTGTGCAGTAATCAATTGGAGTCTAAGAGTTTGTTAACCATATAATTATAACACTGACCTGGATCCCTCAGTTGGACTGTAGGACTGGAAGCATATGAGCTGAGCTGAACAGCGCTGGAGAAGATTTAATGCGTGGTCGAAAAATGTGCATTTTACCGCTATACTGTGATTTTAGCGTTTGGAGTTACACACCTAGAGTGGTCTAGTCTAATAATTGCACCCTACAAAATTCTCAATTTGCAAAACTTTAAAACTGGTCCTACAGTATGTACCTTGTCAGAATCATTGAAACAGGAGAATATGAGTCCAATAAAGTTTTCGTCCATGAGTTGGTAGTCGGCCTGCGTTCCTACGTCCACGTGGGACGGCCAGACTGTGATGTGGGGGTGACTGTGGTACCATCCTAGCACCTGACAACACACAGGGCGTGGGTGGAATGTGTCAGTACATAAGGCCATGTTATACTAAATATGGAGCTAAACAATAGGGCCTAGTGAAAGAATGCAATTAGGTTGGCCATTTGTAAATTTAGCCCTTCTGCCACATTCCTTTGATTGGTGACAAATGCTTTACATAACGAAAAAGAACTTGAAAGTTCACACTTTGCGCCAATAAACAAGTACCACTAACACCATAGATGGTGGAGCTTTGTGAACAGGAAGTATAAAGAGAGATAGATACCCAATATCACCTGAATGGGTCTCTGCAGTTTCAAGGCGAGTCGCTCTGCCTCCATAGCGGCGGCGGACAGTTGCTCCGGATGTATCTCCACCCTGTCTGCCTGCTTGTCTGACCGCCGCATGGCGTAGGCCGAGCTGATGAACGCCACTCTGCCTCCGTCTCTCATCTGTTGGGAGTCGGCAGTACTATTACATCTGCACAGGACTAGAACTTCGAGCTAGACTCGATACACTCGCAAGGTGTGCTTCAAATAGAAGAGAAAGGGATAGCTTACTTCGCCGAGAAGCAGACCCATGACTTCTTCTTTCTCAGTCGTGAGGGCGTGAGTGAGACACGTTAGATATGCATCGGCGGCTAATTCCACCACAGATACCACCATGACGGCGCCAAGACAAGCGACTTTCTACAGTGCGCTCCAATTGGAATAAGTGCTCTCTAATTGGAAGTGCTATATAGAGTATAAATGGGTGGGGCTCGTAAAATCAGCTGACTGATACAGCTAGCTAGGTTAGGGTGGAAGATGCCGCCCCGTCCAAAGAAGAAGGTGAAATCCTTCAAAGTCCCTCCATTTTACTACATCCCTACCATAATCGGTGGCATGAGCCTCATCACGGTAAGTCTATCCACCCCCACAAGTGAAGAAGGAGAAGGACTGCTGGATGTTCAATTTGGCAGGTGGTGGCTCTGTCTCCGGACCTGATACCCGTACGGAAGACTGTGGTACCTGGGAAAGTTCCTTCACTTCATGGCCTACGACCTCCACACTCTCTCCTTCGTTATGTAAGATCATTGACTACCTTGCCCATCCCTGTTCCGGGTACTACCCCGTGGACTCTTATAACTGTAGCATTTGTTTTACAAGTCAAATTAACCAATTCTCCAGGCTCCCCCTCCCCAATAAGCGGCCTAGGACGTTTCTTGCATAGATCCCAGACCACCCTTGTGTAAGCAGCAGGGACGTTAGGTCGTGCGGCCCAATGCTAGAATGAGAACGTCGATTAATTGGAGCACAACTTTTCTCATACTCAATAGTTGCTGTGCAGCTTGGATAGCCCATGTGGGTGAAGCAGCCTATGCTTACTCCATCTGCAGGTATATAATGACTCCTTCCACTGCCCTTGTATCATTTCCTGAAATATCTCACGCTATATATCTTTCCTTTCTTCTTCTCTTTACCCCCTTCTCACTCTTGCTCGTTCATCTTCCATTCTTTAGAAAGCTACATCTCACAAACGGTTTCTTCTCTTTACCCCCTTCTCACTCTTGCTCGTTCATCTTCCATTCTTTAGAAAGCTACATCTCACAAACGGTTTCTTCTCTTTACCCCCTTCTCACTCTTGCTCGTTCATCTTCCATTCTTTAGAAAGCTACATCTCACAAACGGTTTCTTCTCTTTACCCCCTTCTCACTCTTGCTCGTTCATCTTCCATTCTTTAGAAAGCTACATCTCTCAAACGGTGATACTTTTAAATGGACGGTGCAAACGTTTGTTCTTGGCTTCCCCTCTCTCGGACTTCTCAAAGCAAAACTGAACCACACCCAACGATAACAACGATGATCGATGAGTCGAATTATAAATAGTACTTTTTCCAACAAACATAGAATTACAGTAACTACTACAATCATCATAAAAATGACTAAAGAGATGATATTATGTACAATTGTGCAACATTGTTGTGAAAAAAATGACTCCATTTACATATACATATTTTACAGGGGACGTACAGAAACGGCAGTACGTACTATTTTTACTTATTCAGCGGGAAACAAAATAAAAATTAATAATCTTGATGATCTGAGGTGGTATTCCAATTAATTAGCAGTTAATTAGGCGGGGAGCCCCTAGGCATCAGTCTCGTTACTCTCCTCCATGAGGCCAGCTACTCTCAATCGCACGAATTCTTCAAAGACGAAATCAGCATCGCCTTCTCCTGCTTCGTGCTCTCTGGAAGATGAGGGGAGGAGCAAAATTTAAAAACACGGTGGAACCTCCGAATAAAGGACACGTTGGGACCGTCCTTTATAGGGAGGTTGTCCTCTGAGGTGGTTAATACAGAATCAGAGAAAAGTGACCCCAAAGTGTGTCCTTTATAGGGAGGTTGTCCTCTGAGGTGGTTAATACAGAATCAGAGAAAAGTGACCCAAAGTGTGTCCTTTATAGGGAGGTTGTCCTCTGAGGTGGTTAATACAGAATCAGAGAAAAGTGACCCCAAAGTGTGTCCTTTATAGGGAGGTTGTCCTCTGAGGTGGTTAATACAGAATCAGAGAAAAGTGACCCCAAAGTGTGTCCTTTATAGGGAGGTTGTCCTCTGAGGTTGGTTAATACAGAATCAGAGAAAAGTGACCCCAAAGTGTGTCCTTTATAGGGAGGTTGTCCTCTGAGGTGGTTAATACAGAATCAGAGAAAAGTGACCCCAAAGTGTGTCCTTTATAGGGAGGTTGTCCTCTGAGGTGGTTAATACAGAATCAGAGAAAAGTGACCCCAAAGTGTGTCTTATAGGGAGGTTGTCCTCTGAGGTGTGTTAATACAGAATCAGAGGAAAAGTGACCCCAAAGTGTGTCCTTTATAGGGAGTTGTCCTCTGAGGTGGTTAATACAGAATCAGAGAAAAGTGACCCCAAAGTGTGTCCTTTATAGGAGGTGTCCTGAGGTGGTTAATACAGATCAGGAAACGTGACCCCAAAGTGTTCTTTAGGGAGGTGTCTCTAGGTGTAATACAGAATCAGACAAAAATGACCCCAAAGTGTGTCCTTTATTAATCAGAGGTTCTGCTATGGACCAACTGACTTTTGCTAGACAAGTGTGGAGGTCAGGACCAACTAACTTTTGCTAGACAAGTGTGGAGGTCAGGACCAACTAGCCTTTGCTAGACAAGTGTGGAGGTCAGGACCAACTAGCCTTTGCTAGACAAGTGTGGAGGTCAGGACCAACTAGCCTTTGCTAGACAAGTGTGGAGGTCAGGACCAACTAGCCTTTGCTAGACAAGTGTGGAGGTCAGGACCAACTAGCCTTTGCTAGACAGTGGTGGAGGGTCAGGACCAACTAGCCTTTGCTAGACAAGTGTGGAGGTCAGGACCAACTAGCCTTTGCTAGACAAGTGTGGAGGTCAGGACAACTAACTTTTGCTAGACAAGTGTGGAGGTCAGGACCAACTAGCCTTTGCTAGACAAGTGTGGAGGTCAGGACCAACTAGCCTTTGCTAGACAAGTGTGGAGATCAGGACCAACTAGCCTTTGCTAGACAAGTGTGGAGGTCAGGACCAACTAGCCTTTGCTAGACAAGTGTGGAGGTCAGGACCAACTAGCCTTGCTAGACAAGTGTGGAGATCAGGACCAACTAGCCTTTGCTAGACAAGTGTGGAGGTCAGGACCAACTAGCCTTTGCTAGACAAGTGTGGAGGTCAGGACCAACTAGCCTTTGCCAGACATGTTTGGATGTAGTATTCCACTACTATGATGAAATTTTGATCATAAGTAGGAACCACAGACAAACTAACTAAGAAGCGAGTGAAGGTAAGATCATCACATGTAGCTGGCACGGGATAGCTTTCTTTACCGGATATAGCCCCTGATTAGGGAGTGTTGTTAGACTTACGCGTCAAACGTAATGAGGTTGTGGTCAATGAGATCGTGAACTGAGTTCTGTGACATCATTGCTGGGAGAAAGAGAGGAGAAGGTGAAGGGAGGAATCACAGTATGGACTGCATAATATAAGCAAGAAGAATGTAATCAGAGTATCATACACATAACCACGTGTAAAGACAACTTGCATCAGTATGAAAACGACAACAACATAATATATGTACACCAGAACAATCAGCTAATGTCAGGAGTCAAACTCAGAAACAAACTGAGCTACAGCTCATAGACACAAACGTCATCTCAGCTCCCGTCTGTCAACGCCCAATATGTATTACGTGCTCACCGTTTTCCATCTCTCCATTGACTTTCGCCTCCTCTGCTCCATCAGCAGCTGTCTTTCCCTCCTCCCCCTCTCCCTTCTTCTCCCCTCCCTCTCCTCCTCCTCCATCTCCCCCCTCGCTCGTCTTACCAGCCGGAGACTTGTACGGCAGGGTCACCATCTGGCTTATAACCGGTTTAGCGGGTTTCGGATTAGTTAGAGTAAATGGGAGCTCCAGGGTCAAGTCTCTGTAGAGGAAAAATGCATCGCAATAAACACACCAATAAGACAAATAAAGTGCATTATAACTGTGTATACAGATAAAGGGTAGCTACATCACATGCTGGCATGGTGTTTGATCACTCTGCAGTACTGTATCTATAATACATGTATTCCTTTCACAATATAAGCATTTATTCCTCCATCTGCACTGTGCCAAAGTCTTGAATGACCCATGGAATCTACAAACTCATAAATGGTATACACAGAGAGAGGACGACTTCCAAGTTCCAGCTAAAATCCCAACGCTGTAAAGAGCTACTTTGTGTGTAGGGTTAGTAGGAAAGGAGTAAAGGTGGTGATAAGAATAAGAATGATTGTGTGGTCAGTAGCAACAGCAAGGAGTGAAATAGTGAAAACAAGAATGATTGTTCTCACTTTCCAAAAGAGACGACGCATCTGACTTTGACGTTGTAGTGGACCATGATCCCCATTTTCTCTCTCGTCTCCCTCGTCTCCACCACCCCCTCTGGGAGACTGGAGAGAGAGGTATATACAGCAGTGAGAGAATAATGTAGGGCTCTCCATCTCTCTACTTCCTCTCTCTCCCTCCCCCTTCTCTTTCCCCTCCACTCTCCCATCTACTCTTTCTCTTTCTCCTTCTCTCCTCTTTCCTCTCCTTCTCTCCCTCCATTCCTTTCCTTCTTCTCATTCTCTTTCCTTCCCCTTCCTTCCCCACTCATCTCTCCTCCCTCTCTATCTTACATGGTGGAAGAGGCTAGACATGTATCTTCGTGCTTGATCTGCCCGTCCAGTGCCAGCCCTCTCTTGTCCTAGATGATAGAATGGTAAGCAGTGAAACACACGCAGGAAAACCACGACCGAGAAGCACAAGAAAGTTTACGTAAAACACCATTTCACATAAAAAGATCAAAGACCACTAGGTTAGCTCGCTCCGTCTCACCAACCATAGGCCTCGTGATATTATAGCTCATGGCAAAGTTCCCGCTCGGTTGGTTTACTGTAACCAACAACAAGGTCCTTTTCAAATCACTTTCCCCGTATTGTGTCTCTGACAATAACTATTGCTCCTTTGTGCAGACCTCACATTAGCAACATACGTATATTGTTGCCTCTCAAAAGAATTATATACCATGCTTCACTAGCCAAGCACAGAATTCCATACCCCACCACCACCCCATAGGTCTTTGATGAAACAGGCAACATGTAGACTATATAGTGTCTTACTCTATTGTCACTGAGTAGAGGGGTCATTTCATACGTCTTTTGTAGAGCCCCACCCGCGTGAACTGGGAACCCATCACTAAAACAGACAGTCGCCAAAGGGTTAAACTCAGACGTGCAGTCGGGAGTGATGGGGTTAAATGCACAACTCACTCGGAATCCACTTGGGCCACTACACACTTGTACTCCGACTGAGCAAAGAGGCATATTGACGCAAACTGTCTCACTGGGAGAAAAGAAATCATTTACATAGACACACACACACACACACACAACAGTCAGCACAGAAGGTGTTTCACTACGATGCATAATACAGCTAAATAGTAGGGTCGTTCAATGGTAAGGGGAATAAACCGCCACCTGAAGATGGTTGACCCGCAAAATAAGCTTCAAAAATACTTATACATGTCCTTTTGTTTACATTATGTTTGTGTTGCCTCTACATATGAACGTTTATATTTACACGTGTACATTGATTTGCATGTTTGTGTTTACCTTGGACTCTGATTTTCTTGACAGTTTTTGAGGATCTGTTAGCGATTGAGATGTTTACTTTGATCGGCTCTCCGTGAGAGTACGTCTGATGGGTGTGTGTGTGTGTGTGTGTGTGGGTGTGTGCGTGTGTGATTGTGTGTGGTTGTGTATAGAGATGGAAAACAAAGAAACAGTAACGGAACAGATGTTTTTCTTTCTCTTTCCTCTGTTCTCCTAGCCTCTGGTCCACTGACCACTTTCCGCAATACGAGTTTACATAAATGCACCCACCTTTCCCCCTATCTTGGTTTCGAAACAAGGTCTGAGACTTAAAGGCACCGTGGCAGTGACATAAGGGCTAAATTTAGAAACTGTTACTAAAACAGAAACTTAATTGCATTCTAGCACTGGGCCCTGCTGTTTGTTCTATATTTAGTAACATTTCTAAGTTTAGCCCTTATGTACTGACACATTCCCATTAATTTTCTCCCTCTCTTTACAAACTGCTTACGCTTTTGTATTGTGCCCGAGTTTCCCTTATCGGAGGTTCAACTGTACTTACCCCTTTGTCAAGGTTGGCCTCCACCAGCAGTGGATGAGAGCTGAGCATGAAATCTTTGGATACGTCGGTGGTTGGCTGGAGGAAGAGAGAAGAGGAGACAAGGAGGGAGGGAGGGTAGGGTTTGAGAGGGTCAAATTGTAATGTATTTCATGACACCCTGAATTTACCACGAATTTGAACCGAATGTCAGCGTGCAATATCACGACAGAAGTACGACAGTTCTTTCTAGGCTACTTGTATGACCAACGAAAATGTGCCGCTATACGGTAAGTGAGTGGGTTTGGACATCTGCTTACTCTTTGCGTCTGTTCTTCAGGTGCGTGGGTTATCTTCTTGATAGCCAGACGAACAGAATTTCTATTAAAAAAACGCAAAACGATACACACATAACTATGCGACCTAGAACGGAAAGAGTGTACGAATTAAATCTTTGCAATCAGTAGGTCTACCAACTTTCCATTATGTAAACACAACGTCTGACCGATTTGTCACTTAGAGAACTTTCAAGAGCTACTTTTATGTCAGGTATTACATCACTATTGTAGTTGTCGCTGAAGTATTGAACTAACACAGCTGTGTTGTATTAGTTGCAGACCTTTTCTCGATCTTGTCTTCAGGTAGTTTTCCGATGAAGCACCTGAGGATGAAGTCTACTCCACATGGTTTGTCAGCCTCTCCCTGTCCTGGCTGAAGGGACACTGAAGATGGCAGACCTCGGTTTAGCTGGAGGGGGGAGAGGGGGAGAGGGGTAATAAACTCTCATAAAAAAGAAAAAGAAGTGTCCTTTGGCTTTCGCAGCTTTACTCACAGCAAGTGGCTTCAAAATTATCATGGTCATTTGTTTTTTCGTCAGGGGAAAATACTGTAATTTTCCATGTTACTGCACAAAAATATTACGCTGTTCATTTAGCAGCCTGTTATAAAGTTCACTTGTGTTTTTCGTCAGGGAAAATACTCTCTCTCATTCCATTATACCACAAAAATGTTATGAAAGAGAGTCACTCCTAAACAGCCTATTGATAATTTTCACATGTGATTACTTCACTGCTGTTGTCTGCTGCTACGTATTATGAAGTACGTACTGAGAATGTGAACGGGTAGGCGTTCCTTCCGAGTTTCTTGAGAAGTCTGACTTGTAAGAGAGTGAGGAGCTGAGGTTGAGATGGTCTGTGGGTATTAGCCTGCATCCTCTACCTCATGGACGGGCACTTGAGAGAGGTAGAAATGGAGAAGGGACGGAGAGAGAAATAATACGAGGAGAGGTGAGAGAGAGAGAGAGAGAGAGAGAGAGAGAGAGAGAAGAGTAAGGAGGGAAGGGAGAGTTGGGGGGAAGTCCTGAGTTGTCAAGTAACAGCGGTGGTGTCCACGTCGATGAGGTCACGTCTGTTCAGAGTGAGTCCAGAACGTCCAGTCGTCTCTGAATATCAGAAAAAACAAACGGGAAAACACTGCAAGTGAAAAAGAGGGGGAAAGGAGGGAGAGAAGGAGAGGGAGAGAAGGAGAGGGAGAGAAGGAGAGAAAGAGAGGGAGAGAACGGAGAGGAAAGGAGAAGGAAGGGAGAGAAGAAGAGAGGGAGAGAAGGAGCAGGGAGAGAAGAAAGAGGAGAGGGAGAGAAGGAGAGGGAGAGAAGGAAGGGGAAGGAGGGGGAAAAGAGAGGAGAGGGAAGGAGGAGAGAAGGCAGAGGGAGGAGGACGTAGGGCGCGGAGATAAGGGAAGAGGGAGACGAGAACAAGGGAGGAGTTGTTACTATTAGTGGGTGCATTCTTAGCAATGTGCTCTGTCTGCTCTGCGGTAAAGTAACTTCGTCAATCAAAACCAACCGGACTTTCCGACCCGTGAATTTACTTGCTGACTATCCAGGAAGCCTTTCAAGCCCCATGTTTAGCGTACTTTTTTGCCAGATGTTACATACAATCATATCCCAAATGGGTTTGCAGAAGGAAAAAGAAAGGTGGACAAAATAGTGATAAAGGGAAACAAAATTGCACACATTGTGGGTAACCTAGGTTTTTTCTTTTTTTTTTTTTGGGTTTTTTTTTTTTCTTTTTTTTTTTTTTAAACGGTCATCGGTATCAACCCGACAACTATCCCGGGTGTCACCCATCCGCAAAGCAAAAATAAACAGAACCACGGTGGTCATAGAGCCCAATTTTTTTTTTATTTTTTTTTTTATTTTTCCAATAGTGAAAGTTATTCACTCCACCATTACAGGCACACACCTTTCCTATCTTTCTTTCCATCTCTGCCAAAGTACTCTGGGTCGATGAGTACCACACCATCTGCGGAAGAAGAAGGGCACTTATGTCACATTACTAACTCCACATTGCAACTATATTGACATTTAATTTTCCAGCAATTTACGGTAATATCCTTGCGACGTGGCAATGCGGTAAGGCGACGTATTGTGAACCCAGTCTAAGCAACGCTTGCGTAACAAAGAAATCAGCGTGCCATAATTACAATCATTGTATAACCACATGTGTATGTACCATGTTACATACACTAAGTGGGGGAGTATAATTATTACACTAGGTACAGCGAGAAACACATGGCATCCAGGTCATTAAGTAATTGGAACCAAAACACACGAAATACACCGATACTTAATCCATGTTTGTGTTTCAATAGAACGACTAGTTAATAGGTTTACCGATAGGGTCGACTTTCGTAACATGATCGACAAAGTCTCGCTTGCCAACGTAGACGGTTATCTGCAAGAAACAAACATGTACCAAACATGAAAACAAGGCCATATATAGATAACAGGAAACAAGCACGTCTAGTCTTGTTGAAGCTGAGGGGAAAAGGGAGAAAACAGTACCTTTCCGTTGGGTGATGTTTTCTTGAAAACTCTGTATATAAAAATGAAAACCAAACATTATCACAGGAGTGTTTATAATTATTTATAGATTACAATTTGGTGGTTTTTAAAGGGAATTTTATATTTACACATAATTAGAGGAGACTATTTGGGGATTACTTATACGTTTGGATTTTGGGATTTCTTATAGGTTTTGGACTAAATTCAGTTGACACACATACTATGAAACGTGGACATTTGGGGAGCTTGCATATTTGGGAAGGTGTATATACATGGAATTTGTGTCGCCTGGTATTCAGGAAAAGCGCGGAACAGGGGTGCAATTTGTATGTCAGTTCGCTGCGCACCCCACCCTCTTACAGAGAGACAGCGAGAAAGAGAAAGCTTGGGAATGGTGCCCTAATACTTGGACTACCCGGCCTATAGCACCATCACACAAGCTTATGTTGGATCACACGACTCCCAGGTACATGTATGTACAACACTTGTTGAAAAGGAGCTGCCCTGGGTCGGACTCGAACCCACGACACTGTGAATTCTCTAGAAGAGTGCCGAGCTACCAGGGCATCTTAGCAGGCTGGAGGCTCGAAGCCTGAAATACAATACAACACAAGGCAAAGGTATATATATACACACTGTGCTTTGGTGTACATACGTATGCGGCATACTCCTAAAATAGACCAAAGTATATTTGAGACATGTCAACCAACCACATGTCACCGAAAGCATCTTCATGGACGCTACCTACATAGACACCCATTTACGTATATAGACAATTGTACAGATGGTAAGAGGTGCCCAATGAAAGAAAGTTTAATGAGATTCCTAGAGTGCTCCAAGAAGCTCAGAAATGCTTACCAACAACACAGCTCGATCACCCCACGCCCATGTGCGCAAGCATGTGTGTTCAAATCTCATCATAATAATAGATGGCATTGCATTGATATTCTCGGCAACACTTCCCCCACCCAGTGTACATCAACCATGAACCATTTCCCTCCCATCACACATGTTTCTAGACTGCACTACTCATTGTGGACGATACAGCGGTTCTTATATACTTACATATTATGGTGACTTACGAAGTGCATACCTCACAGTTGAGGAATGCGTGGAATTGAATACCGACATCAAAGCTTGGCAGCCACTGCTAACAGGGCTATACACTGGCAGCTAAGCCTGTCCCACATGCACTTCTCAGCTACATACACTGCCAAAAAACAGTTATTATACAGAGGGTCTATAGAGTCCGGCTAGCTGAGAACTAGCGACACATACAAAAGATCAAAGGGCCGAAGGAGCGTAGAACACACGCCCAACACACACCTACAACCGAGTAATCAGCATTGTATTGCTGCCGGTTCTCGCACGCATCGTACACGCACGCCAGGAGCTCACCTAGTCCCGTCCCGCTTGGAAAGCTTCTTGGCTTCCGGAATCTCTTCCTTGTTCATCAGCTGCTGTTTCTCCTCCTCTGTCCCACCCTCCACGGCCGCCATAGTCTACCACAACTGCGTCTCTCTTTCCCTAAAGCAGCTAACGTGCGCCTCCCTCCAGCTCTCTTTCGGGGGCACATTCGCTCCGCGGAATTAAAATGACGTCACATACGGAAACGGAAACAAATTCGGTAATGACGTCAAAATCACTAATTAGTCCTCGCACAAGTCTGTGAGCATGCGCGGTAGAGGACAGGGACTCGGAATGACGTCGTCAGTGGGAATCTGAAGTTTTTTGCTGGTCTTGTGGACCTCACTACCTTCAGGCCGGGCCCAAAAATTGGCCCCCTGCAGAAATCACAGAGGTTCTCATCGCACGGGGATCTCCTGCAATCAAGAATTTCTCTGATGGCATACGGCAGTCCTTCATCTCTTTCCATGGCTAATGCATTCACAACAGTACAGCACATATCTACCAGTGCCTGCAGCCAAAAAACACAATAACTGACTTGAGAAAGTTAGTGCAACAAGCAGACCCTAAAATTGATGTTCACGTGCTAATGAGCAGGTACTTTTACACCCTTTTGACGTTTTGTGCCTATAATGTGTCTGTGCAATCAGATTAGACAAACCCCTCTATGTAATCCATAACTTTTTGCAGGGACCCATCGTAGCCGTTATTTCTTACATGCAAAAGAGGAAGATGCGCTTGTATTTCTATGCATGTCGTCCTTGTGTACTCCTGACCTGTGGCGGTGATCGGCAGTTTTCTCTCCAGAGGAAAGGGTGTAGGTAGTTGCCTGATATGTGGAGGTGGGTGAGAGGGAGGGAGAGGAGGGAGGGAGGCAGTCCAATCAGCTCGTTGCTCTCAACGTTCAGCCGTTGAAGTGTCCTACCAGCACAACAACACAAACACAAAAGCCATGATAGACTGTTAATACACGGCACAACTTTGCATGCATCTTTAGTCTCATGGAAGTCTCATGGAAGTTGCACCATGTATATACGTTGGGCAGAAGTTGCATGCTACTAGTTGCATGGAAATAGAATGGTTGTCTATTCGACCCAACTTGTGTCATGCAACAAAAATCACAACATACACGGCAACTTTATCCCATGCAACATGTTGGGCTTTATGCAACAATACACTACCATGCGAGTTTTTGGCAAATGTTATTCTCACAATTGTACAGTCCTACTTATGGGTCTATGCGTATTTGAGTACCCAGTTTAGTTATATTACGATACCTCTATGATAATTACCAAAATTATGATACCCCTATGATAATTAACCTGAGTTTGGAGATGTTTCGGGAAAGATGTTGTATGGAGTTGTGAGAAACATCGAGTGTTTGGAGTGATGGTAGCTCAAACAGACTGCAGCACAAGGGAGACAATGATCTTAGGAAATTTCATACTCTTCACTTCCATCCATTCATAGCAGACACTCACCCTGAAGGAAGACTTGTGAGAGCGTTGAATGAGATACAAAAGTCCTCTAGTTTTTCGAGCCGCTTGATATCTGAAAGATAAAACTATGTATAGATGTATTTCTTAATTCTTAAGAAGGCGTGTATGGTACCGTTTGGTATATGCTGCACTGGATTGTTTCTCATTCTCAGTACTCTCAGTTGAGTGAGCTCCAAAATTTCAGCAGGAAAAACCTGTCAGTAGTAAAACCTCTGAATAGATGACACCTTGGAGAAACCGAAAGTCCCTTTATTCAGAGGCTTTTTCACGTTTATAATGTTTTTTGAGGCAGAATGAAGTGTCCTTTATAGTAATGTGTTCAGAGGGTCCTGTTCGGAGGTTTTGTACCTGTTCGTGCTATGGTATGGTATAAAGCTATGGTATATACCCTGGAGAAAGAGATTGACTATTAGACTCACTCTGAGGCCATTGAATGACAGATTGAGGCAAGTGAGGGTGAGGGAGAGAGGGGAGAGGGGAGGAAGGGACACAAGAAAGTGTGCCTTCAGACTCAACCTGAACCCTCCCTCCAACATACTCTCAAGAATGGCCACTTCTGATGGAGATATGAGCGGCTGATCCCCACTATCTGCCGGTGAACAAAGCACACCATATCAGTGGATCCCACATGCAAGTAGCAATTATTATCAAACTCTATGTGCATAAAGTGGGTAAAATAATTACCCTAAAGCCTGGTTCAAAATACAACGCTAGGCTCGTTTCGTTTCGTCAGCTACCACTGTATATAATATTGTCAATTTGTGTGCAGGTAAGGTGTATATACGTATATACCAAAGGGAGAATTACTGCGACCCTCCCCACAGAAGTAGCGTGAGGTAGAAGATCTGAAGACAATGTCACCAGGGTTTGGGGAGGGCCACAGTAGTTGTTGCCTCTCTCTCCCTCCCTCTTCCTCAGTCCCTGCTCTCCGTGACTCGGCCAGGGCAACTGACACCATTGCTTCCAGCTCTAGAAAAGAGGGACATAGTTTTTATCTGGCAAAATTTAATGATGCTTTTAAAAAGTCAGTCTAACCAAGCAACATTTGGTGGTGCGGTTTTCTTCCATTCGGAACACTATGATCCACTGCAAAAGAACATTACAGAGCTTTATTAAAAGAGTGTACAATGTACTTCTGTTAGTATATATGATTACTGCATTATCCAACCAGTGAGAATCATTGTGTTGAGTGTGTCTTGTCGAGGAATGTGAGTTGCAAACCATCCGGTAAGCTTTAGGTAGTTCTGTCGCGAGAGGACCTTCTCTCTCAGTCGCGTTCGCGGAGGTTCATACAGAGCTGCTTCCTCAGCCTCGTCAAGGTCAGAAAACAGGGGGGCAAACTCATTATCATCTACTTCTGGCTCTGGAGAAAGAGCCTCTTCAATATCTGGGACCTTTCGTTCTTTTCTGTCTGATTTCTGCTTGGTTGAGCACCTTTTGCCCCTGTGAGTCTTTGATTTTCTCTGTGGGAAAGGCGGGGGACCTCCGACGTGGTGTTGGTCCGAGCTGTCCTCTTCACGAATGTTCGGATGGTGGTGGAGGCGACGGGAGGAGCTAGGGTGACGGTGTGGGGACGTGGGGGTGGGATGGTGACGCGGGAGAGGGTGTAGGGGAGTAGAAACGCTCCCGAGTTTCTCCTGCAGACCCGAGCCAAACGTACCTGGCACTTTTTCTCCGGGTCCCACAAACCGTCGTCTCGCTTCGTTCGAGAACGCGCCTCTGCAAGGCTTCTGTACCGGCTGAGGAGGTGGTCTGGGTCTTCTCAGTAGAGGGAAAGACTGCAGCCGCTCCTCCTGCGATGCTGGACGAAGAATTGACTTCTCTGTCATTTTTTCCACGAGCGCAGTTTACGTGTAACCATGGCAATAGTCGCGGGGGTGTAATATTCGGCCCCTCGTGACACGCATTTATTTTATCATGTGGGCTGATCCCAAATCAAACGCAGGAAAGAAGCGGACAGGGACCTAAAGAGGAGCAGCACTCGGCCATGGCTGCCTGCAACAACACGACTACTTCGGCGCTGCTGCACATAGCTCCGTGCGACGTGGAGGAGGCGGCCGATCGGCTGCTAGACTTCGCCAGGGCCTATACCGGGGGAGAGGAACCGTACGATGATATCGGGAGCGTCGTGAACTTCTCCAACCAGTCGGGGCTCTTCACGCTCTCCGACGTGGAGCTGGACATCAGCGACACGCGCTCTGAGAAAATCCACACTTTCGACAGCGCGGCGCTGCTCCTAATCATGGCCCTCCTCTTTCTCACCGTCATAACTATATGGGTCTTCAAGGCACGGCAGCTCAGGGTATTTCACGAGACGGGCCTCTCGCTAATATACGGTGAGACCACCCCGTTACACGCGCGGCGTTCGAGCCTGCTTTTCTAGATGTGAAATTACTAGTATTCTAATTAGTGCACACTGGATGTTTGAACTTGAAACCCAAGCCAAGAGAGTTCGCAGTTGAATATCCTGTGGCTTCTATACCCTCATTCACCCCCGTTTCGTACCTTACTATACCCACATTTTTTCCCATCAGGTGTAATTATAGGTTTGATTCTGAACTTTGCCTTCCCTCCGAGCGAGTCCCTGCTCTACGACCTGGCATGCCCGCAGTACGAGTGTGACGGAGTCACTCCGAGCAGCTGCGCCGACGTCTCTAGTTTCCAGATCGGAGAAGACATACAGTTGAGATCGGCCGGCGGGGATCGCTGCAAGAACGGAATAGAGGGCGAAAACGTGGTCATAGCGGAAGTGCTTGGAAAAGTCTTCAAAGACAGAAATGGAAACTACATTGAACAAACTGTGAGAGTCCTTCTACTATAGGTGGAATACTATAATATGTATGTATATATTCAACATTGCCACATACAACTTTTTTTGTTTCCCTAGTTGCTGTTCAACCCAGAACTGTTCTTCTTTGCTCTTCTGCCACCCATCATATTCCAGGCTGGATTTAGTCTAAAAAAGGTATTCAGACCACTCAACTCTGTTTATTTGGTCATTAACCTTTTTATCTCCACCTCTTCCCCCTCCCCTCTCTGTCTCATTCTCCACAGAGGCATTTCTTCAGGAACCTAGGCTCGCTGTTTCTCTACGCATTCGCGGGTACTACAATCTCTACCTTTGTCATCGGGTTAGCTCATCCCTACTCATGTTGCTAGCATGTTTTCTTGTACCTGTTCATGTTATCATGTACTAGTCATGTGCCTTGTCACGTCATAAGCAGTCTCTCTACATGTAGATAGGGGGTTGGAAGTTAGCCAGGGGGGCAGGGGATAAGAGGAATTTACCCATTATCTGCTTCCTCTATGTCGCAGTATTGCGTGAAACTCCTTAGCTTTATACTGTCTCAGTGTCTACCTCTCAGGGCTATTCTTTGGGTGTTCACACACATGCGCATTGTGTGTGTGTGCGTGTCTGTCAGTTTCTGTGTGTTACACTTAGATGTGCAGTAGATGCTGCGAAAAGTACGAATATTTAGGCCCAATTTTCACACTCACTTCTTATGCTCATTGCACTGCATTCTCCAACTTTAGATGGTTGGTTCCCCCCGCCTTCTTTCTAAAAGTAGAAAAAGTTTAGGCCATCCTACTCTTATACACTGCACACTGCAGCAATAGGCAAAGTATTCGAGATGGTTGGTTGGCCCGTCCTTCGCCCCACGGTGTACGAAAATTTGGGCCCAATATTATAACCCACTATACTTGCTATGATTTCTGGAGCATATCTTGTCTTCATATTATTGTTCATGTTTGTCGGTAAATGGTGCACAAATTCCTTTTTCTATCTCTCTCTCTCTGTCACACACAGTGGTCTAATGTATGGCTACACTCAGACTGGGACTCGAAGTGGAGGGATCTAATTTTGCAAAGCTGACGGGGCAACCCATCCCTGGACAGTTCAAACAGACCATCATTCCCTCCCTCCTCTTTGGTTCCCTCATCTCTGCCACTGACCCTGGTATATACTGCAGTGTTCTGCTGCCCACATCTGTTAATTGAGGTTTCCCTGTTTGGAAGACATCTCTCCCAGGCTCTCGCCTCATCTCTGCCACTGACCCTGGTATATACTGCAGTGTTCTGCTGCCCACATCTGTTAGCCAGTTGGCAACAACCACTAGATCAATTTTTCACGTGTCTCTACTTTTGGTGATTGTGGCCTTTGAGTTTTGCCACCACTCATCCTCAGCAGAACCATGTCTTCAGTATACAGTGACTTCTTTTGCACACAGCAGTTCTTATTGTAGCACACCTTATAGAGTGGGGCATTGGGTCTGCATTCTTCCACTAGTAGTCCACTATGTTTTAATCATGTATGTTTGACTAGTTAGTATGTTATAGTAGACAAGAGTTTGGCCAAATGAGCACACTTGGAGTTTGTCTAGAGAGTAGGGAATTTAGTTTACAACTTTCTCTTCCTCTCTCAATGTCCTGTGAAGACCTATAATGCTTTTAACTTCCTTTCCACTCTCTGCTTCTCTCTCTCCTCTCCCCCTCTCTCCTCCCTCCCTCTCTATCCCACTTCTCTCCCCTCATCTATCTCTTCACCCACAGTGACAGTACTGGCCATATTTCATGACCTGCATGTGGATCATGATCTCTATTCTCTTGTCTTTGGAGAAAGTGTCATGAACGATGCTGTCGCCATCGTCATGTTCAGGTAAACAAAACAATTTATACATTTCGCGGATTAAGCTGAAACTTTCAAAACTGTATGCTTTTCACACAAAAACTCTTTCATTGAACGTGTAATAGTGAAGACACTGATTTTTGCTCTATACAGTATGTATCACTATAATAATATGGTAGTTAGGCCGCGAGTCCGTAAAATCTAAGTGTGTTTGAAGCCCAAAGTTGTGGAGTTCTGAGTGAAAGGCCTGAGGTGCGTGAGTGCGTACTAAGTAGGTTAACACGCGTAGTATGCCGTGGTTCACTAGCGTCATAAATGTATGGGACTATGATGGAGAGTTTTGTTCATTGATTCTATATGCTGTATCCCGCGATCCTACACGTGCAGGTCGATAGATGAGTATTCTCCAGACGAAGGAGGAGGCAGTTTCGAGGCCGTGGCCCTCCTCAAATCAATCGGCAATTTTATTGGCATTTTCATTGGTTCTTTCATCCTCGGGACGCTCATGGGCCTCCTTACCGCTCTGGTATGTATGGCACTTTTGGTTACATACAACAGCTTTAAGTATACCAATGATATGAGGTTCCGTAAAATTTTCAAGAACCCATTAATTTATGTCACAGTAACTTCCCTGCACTGTGACCACAGGGAGTATTATACTGTGTAGGAAAGCATGTCTGCTACTTGCGTGCACTCGCCAGAAATGCGTAGCATTCGTTCTAGTGATTTACTGTATTAGTGGCCTTGTTACTGACACCAGTGTGTGTGTGTGTGTGTGTGTGTGTATCGTGTGACTGCAGCTGATGAAGTTCTCGAACCTCAGAGCCTATCCTCTACTGGAGACGTCCATGTTCTTCATCATGTCCTACTCCACCTTTCTGTTTGCCGAGTTTGCCGGACTTACCGGTGAGGGCTGTCCCCTTTTCTCTCTCTCCTCCTACTTCTCCCCCATTCCTCTCTTTTCCTTGCTCCCTTACTCCCTCTCTCGTTCTTGTTCTCTCTCTCTCTCTTCCCCCCTCCCTCCCTCCCTCTTCCTCTGCCCGCAGGTATTGTGGCTGTGCTATTCTGTGGGATAATGCAGTCGTACTACACCTTCATCAACCTATCGGAGGAATCCCGACGCAGAACCAAAGACCTCTTTGAACTCATCAACTTTCTCGCGGAGAATTTCGTCTTTTCCTACATGGGCCTCTCTCTCTTCACCTATAAGAACCACCAATGGGTGCCTGGTTTCATCATATTCTCTTTCGTATCCTCCATCACTATAGTATACTGGAGAGGGAATTTGTGTTAGGAACAAATTTTATTTGGGGTGGGGGTTAGGAGCAAAAATTGGTCGGAAAAAGTGTTCGGGGGTGAAAATGCTGCAGTTTGGGGGGGGTCCAAATGTTGCTAAGTGTGGCTTAATTAGGTTATGGTGTGCGTAATTCTTGATGTACATCTCTGTTGGGAAAACTGTTAAGTATTTTATGTGGAAAAAGTAGCGTGTATACATAAGTCCCACAAATTACTATCACATTTTGATTGACATTGTTCCAAATGATTTAGTCCAGTATGTAGTATATATCCTTGACGGAACATGTATGAAACGATCAGGTGGCCATTTTCGCTGGTCGAGTCATCAACATCTACATCCTCTCGTTCCTGCTCAACCTCGGCCGAGCCACGAAGATAAAGTTTCGTTTTCAGCACATGTTGGTGTTTGCCGGTCTGCGAGGGGCCATAGCCTTCGCGCTCGCCATCAGAAACACGCAGAGTCAAGCGAGACAGCTCATATTTACCACAACGCTGGTGATCGTGATGGGTACCGTCCTGGTGTGTGGAGGCTTCACCACACTCATGCTACAGTTCCTCAGAATCAAGTGGGACCTCTTTTCACCCCCTCTTCTCTCTTTCTCTCCTCTATGTACATGTTCCTTCCCCTTTCTTCCCTTCCCTTCATTCCACTGTAACAAGTTACACTACAGTATAGACCTTAGCACTTAACCAGCCACGGACACATAAAATGTTGTATGGGGTTTATAATAATACACCATACATCAATTTATGCTTATTTAAGCAAATCCCCATGGCGCCCAAAGGGATTTATTAACAGACTTGCTTACTAACTGCTGGGTTTTGCTGAAGTGTCTGTGTTTTTAATTTTCAGAGTTAAAGTAAAGGACGATGGAGGTGGACTACAAGTTGATGTACGTAAGATTAGTGTATACCGGAAACTCTCGAGGGAGATACCTTTCGCGTTTTTTTTGTAGCGAATGCGAACGCTGCGCAGAATAATTTCACAGTTGCTTCTTCCTCGGTGGAAGTGTGTCGCACACAGTGTTAGAGTTTTCGTGATCGGCTAATAAACCGCGAAAGTTTCCACCCTCGAAAGGTTCCCGCTATACAGTATGTATATACTTACCAGCAGCCAACATGGAGATGTATATATAAACTGATGGTGTGTGTATACAACTGTACTGATTAAGTGGTATAATATAGACTGATGGTGTGTGTACACAACTGTACAGTAATATAGACTGATGGTGTGTGTCTTATGCAACTGTACAGGGGGTTGAAATTCCGTACAATCCCAAGTCTGGCAACTGGTTCATAGCCAAATGGAGCAAGTTGGACAAAGAGTGAGGAAATACACAATTACTAATTGTGGGACGGGACAAATTTTTCTCAGTATCTAAACACTAGCAAGCAATCCTTGTCAAGTTTTTTGTCCGTATGAAAGGTGTAACTTTAACGATTCATTGACGTTCTTCATGGGTAGCTAAAATTGTCATAATTGCTACAAAAACATTTGGTATAATACTAAGCTCAGCTGCTGTGTGTGACATTGTGTTGGTATGATTTTACCGTGCAAGAATGCAATTAGGTGTCGTAGCTGCATGATGATAACTATACTGCCGCATTCTCTTAAATTTAACTCCACACACACACACACACAGGTATCTGATCCCAATGTTCACTCACTACGGACGGAGTGTGGGGAAGTTTCTGCCCCAGTTCTGTGTCAGCTTCTGCCGGTCCTGTCGGCCTCCTGACTTCAGAGTGAGTGAAAATAACACCACACCTATTGTATGTTAATATACAGTGGAACCTGGACCCGTTGAGACCTGGTATTTTAGAGGGAGGTTGTCCTCTCTTCAGCCCTTTTGACGCCATGGGTGTCTCCTTAAATTAGCAGAAATTGATGTATACTAGTATATTATATTAATGCCTAGTATAGCCATATATAAATTCGTATGGACATATGGAGGCTCTGGGCATGCCCGTGGCTTGCTAATGGTTAAAATGTACTAGAACGATAGAAAAGTGAACGTTTGGAACCTCAAAATGTGTCCCCTTTTTCAGGATGACATAGTATCGTTTGTGGAGGAGGAGAGTGAGAGTGAGGAGGAGGAGGAGGAGGAGGAAGAGGAGGACAAGACGCTGTCCTTCAGACACCATTCTCTCGGGGGAGACGAGGAAGACGGGCCAGAGGTTAGACAACAGACAACTATGTACTATAGCTCCCTGCTGCAGGTTTGCATTGCCTTAATTAGTGCACACTGTACGTATACAGCATCAAATTCTTCCCCTACCAAAAACAATTTTACCTTCTCCCACGCGTTATGAATTGCGTGCGTCCTCTCCCTCTTCCCTCTCAGAGTGACATTGGTCTCGGTGTAGAACCCGCCAGAGGAGGACCATCGTACGGTTCCCGTGGCTACCACAAGTTGGATGAATCCCAGGAATCTCATTTGTAGCACACACACACACCCCAGGGACATCACATCTCTATCACCTTTAGCCCGTTTGAAGAAATTGGATTTACCTTTTTTGCTTAGAGTAATATTGTGTGCTTTCTTGTGATCTCATTATGTTGTGTTGTTGCGTAGGTGTTTTTTGCCAACTGGCCAACTGAACATGATCACGTGACCGATATCCAATCAAAACTCAGCGTACGTAACTTTCGCGGGTGTTTGGCGGCAAACCACGCGGTCTGGTGCGGGATCTTTGATCTGCCTGGGGAAAACCAGAAAGAAGGAGGGATTTTGCGGATTTTCGGCAAAGGGAGAGAAAGTTGGGAGATCATGGACGTGGCGGCTCGGTCCCAGCCGCGGCAGGCCGTCGTCAAGGACATCCTTGGAGAGCGTGTCCAGAAGATGTTTCAAGACTTTCTCGAAGAGTACGTCGGTTATTTAGGTAGCTATATTATAGCTAGCTGTGGGCGGGAAAGAGATTTCTGGGGCGTCTCTCTCTCTCTCACACACTCTCCTCTCTCCCCTCTCAACATTGTGAACCAGTCTTCTCCCCCCCCCCTCTCTCCCTTCACTCTGCCTCCATGCATGTGCAGTTTCAGAAGCATCTTGTTGTAGCTTCTCTTTACCTGTATGTGCAGGTTCAGAAGCGTCTTTCTCTTCTCTCTCCTCACTCCGTTGCCTTATTGTAGCTTTTATCTATCTGTGCAGGTTTCAAGAGGACGAAGGAGAGTTGAAGTATCTCCTGCCGGTCAAGGAGCTGATGCGTCCGGAGAGAAACACGCTGCTAGTCAGTTTCAGGGATGTGGAGGAGTACAGTACAAAGCTGGCTACCATCATACAGGAGCAGTACTATCAGTGAGTGCGCTGGCTTTGCTACAGTACTATCAGTGAGTGCGCTGGCTTTGCTACAGTACTATCAGTGAGTGCGCTGGCTTTGCTACAGTACTATCAGTGAGTGTGCTGGCTTTGCTACAGTACTATCAGTGAGTGCGCTGGCTTTACTATCAGTGAGTGCGCTGGCTTTGCTACAGTACTATCAGTGAGTGTGCTGGCTTTGCTACAGTACTATCAGTGAGTGCGCTGGCTTTGCTACAGTACTATCAGTGAGTGCGCTGACTTTGCTACAGTACTATCAGTGAGTGCGCTGGCTTTACTACATATCAGTGAGTGAGCTGGCTTTGCTACAGTACTATCAGTGAGTGCGCTGGCTTTGCTACAGTACTATCAGTGAGTGCGCTGGCTTTGCTACATATCAGTGAGTGAGCTGGCTTTGCTACAGTACTATCAGTGAGTTTGCTGGTTCTGCTAGGGTCTTTGTTTTCTACACTGTTATTCTGACTCGTAGGGTTTTAGCCAGTGAGCAACTGAGAAAGGAGGGGAGAAGGGGTTGACTGACTACTAGCCACATACTCACTCATTGCAAAGCATAAAAGCACAGAGAGAAAGAATGATTACTCCCTGTTTCCTTGCTTTAGCACAGAAGGGAGGGGAGAGAAAGAATGATTACTCCCTGTTTCCTTGCTTTAGCACAGAAGGGAGGGGAGAGAAAGAATGATTACTCCCTGTTTCCTTGCTTTAGCACAGAAGGGAGGGGAGAGAAAGAAGGATTACTCCCTGCTTCCTTGCTTTAGCTAAACCCCTGGGCCCACTGAATGCCATATATACTGCATGGTGATAAATCTGCCCTTTGAACTGCATGTTTTCTTTCTATATCTCTCTCTTCTCTCTGTTGCAGTGTGTTTCCCTTTCTCTGTCTGTCTGTTCGAAACTTTGCTCGTGATCGCGGTGAAGTGACGGTCCAGAAAGACTTCTACGTAGCGTTTGAGGAAGTTCCCGCAAGACACAAGTGAGTGAGAGAAAATAATTGATGGTGAACCGTAGAATTATCGTCTTATGCCATTAGTATTAGTACTTACGTTTTTTTTGCAATTGCATGCAAAATATTACTGTCACGACGTAAGTTATAGCAATAAGGGAAAAGAAAAAACTTGGTCCATGTGAGTCTCGAACTCACGACCTTGGCGTTATCAGCACCACGCTCTACCGACTGAGCTAATGGACCTTGATGGTTTTAAGGGGGTAAATCCAAGCATCCACACTAGTTCCGCAAATTAGTGTTAGTGGATGAATGAAAAATAACGTCTGAGCGTGTCTTGTGTGATAGTCTACTGCAACGATCTACAGAGTGCGTGAGCTGACGACGGCCAAGATAGGGACCCTCCTGAAGATCAGTGGGCAGGTGGTGAGGACCCACCCCGTCCACCCCGAGCTGGTCTCAGGCACATTTCTGTGTCTGGAGTGTCAGACACAGATTCCCGATGTCGAGCAGCAGTTCAAATTCACCCAGGTTCGTATTATTACGTGTGTATATATTCATTGCCAAGTTTAAGTCTATCCTTTTGTGTATGAACTCTAACTTTTTTCACTTGGTACGTATGTACGTTTGCAAAACGGCATTGCGTCATTGTTGTCCTGTTTATTGTTGTTGTTTGTTTCTCTGTACACAGCCGACCGTGTGTCAGAACCCAAACTGTGTGAACCGACGTCGCTTCATGCTCGACATAAACCAGTCTCGCTTCGTTGACTTCCAGAAGGTCAGGATCCAGGAAACCCAGCAGGAGCTGCCACGAGGGAGCATTCCGCGCAGCCTCGACGTCGTGTTGCGAGCGGAGGCTGTGGAAATGGTGCAGGCGGGGGACAAGTGTGATTTTATCGGGACGCTCATTGCTGTCCCGGACGTGGCCCAACTGGCGATGGAGGGTGCGTGCTTTCTGTGGTGTAATTATGTACGCTGAAGGAGTGGATTACTAGTATATTATGTAGATTAATGACTAGGCAAAGTGAACAAGAAACAATAATAGTAGTGATTTAAAGTGCATCACATTTTACTGCCCATGTTCTGTCCATTTTGCTCTGGGGGTGTGGTCTATGATGTAGGCACCATTGGTGGGTCACGAAATCTGCTGGTCAGCATATTTCTAGCTCGTAACCCATGTTCGTAGCCTGTTTTTCTTATGTCATAACATGCACCGACAACAACAAATTTCGTGACTCAAAACTAAGTCTTACATATTATGAAGTAACAGGGATGTTGGGATGTCTATGTTGTTCTCGCTTATGCGTTCAGCAGAGACTCTATTTTTTGAAAGGTGCGAGAGCTGAAACGTCCACTCGAGTGAGGAAAGGAGAAGGCCATGATGGCGAGGGTGTTAGGTTAGCTCTAGTTTCTCTTTCTTCTCCGTTTTTATCTCATTTTCTTTTTCCAAACTCTAATTTACCTAAGTATAGTATTCCTTAACCTGTACAGCAAACAATTGTCGCAGATTTATTTTTAACAAATTATGCTTAGCGAATTCTTGCACCATGCAGCTACATACATCTGCAAAAACCTTTTCTCAAATACGTAGTCACCTTTGAACGAGTGGCGAATTAATTGAATCATGAAATATCCACCTTTTTTTTCTTTCTTCCTTGACACCTATATTCACAGTGGTCTGAAAGCTCTGGGTGTTAGGGACCTGACCTACAGACTGGCCTTCTTGGCCTGCTCTGTCGCTTCCACCAACCCTCGCGTGAGTCCTAGTGACCAACATGTGTGTGTGTACATGTAGTGCTGATCGAGTAGAGTGAGAGTATATTATCGTGCCATGTAGCACAGTGGTTTGAGGTTTGTCATATTGTGTTGTATTGATTTGAACCTCTACCAGCTGAGTTGGCCTGGTAGCTCAGTTGGTAGAACACGCTCGCCTAGTGTCGCCTCTACCAGCTGAGTTGCCATGGTAGCTCAGTTGGTAGAGCACGCTCGCCTAGTGTCGCCTCTACCAGTTGAGTTGCCATGGTAGCTCAGTTGGTAGAGCACGCTCGCCTAGTGTCGCCTCTACCAGCTGAGTTGCCGTGGTAGCTCAGTTGGTAGAGCATGCTCGCCTAGAGTGTCTAGTGTCGTGGGTTTGAACTCCCCACCTAGCCACAGCTCTTTTTGCACCTGATTTTGTTGTGTGAGATCAACTCTATGGGTGTGATGGGTCCATGGACGTATGTCGATTGTTGCCAAGGGGGTCACAAATTTTACCCCCCTCCCAACCCCCCACAGCTAGGGGGTCGGGAGCAGCCCGGGGAAGAAGTGACGGCAGAGATGATAAGGAAGCAGATGACAGAGAGCGAGTGGCAGAAGATATACGAGATGAGTCAAGACAAACACCTCTACCAGAACATCATAAGCAGTCTCTTCCCCACCATTCACGGTCAGTAATCTACTCAGTAATCTATCAGGAAATTGCTCAGGATATTCTCAGTAACAGGGTCAGTAATCTACTTAGTAATCTATCAGGATATTACTCAGGATACTCTCGGTAAACAGTAAACTATTCATGTGAATCCCCCAGGTAGTGATGAAGTTAAGAGAGGGGTGATGTTGATGCTCTTTGGCGGAGTGCCAAAGGTCACGACAGAGGGCACTCGTCTCCGTGGCGACATAAACGTGTGTATCGTCGGGGATCCCAGCACGGCAAAGAGCCAGTTTCTGAAGTACGTGAAATAGTAGTAAGTGTCTGAACATGATGGATACTTTTCAGGGGTTGTCCATCAAGTAGGAAATATTTTTACAAACAAGTTTCTTCACTTCTCCCTTTACTTTTCGGGAGTTGTCCATCAAGTTTGACCATGCAATTCTTCTTTCTCTCTTCTCCTCCTGTTTTTCGTCCCTCTGTGTGTGTGTGATGTAGGCAGGTGGAAGAGTTCAGCCCGAGAGCGGTTTACACGTCAGGCAAGGCCAGTAGTGCAGCTGGTCTGACAGCTGCCGTGGTGAAAGATGCGGAGAGCCACGAGTTTGTTATTGAGGCTGGAGCTCTCATGTTGGCCGATAATGTGAGGAGAGAGAGGGAGGGGGGGGAGGGACAGTGCAAAGAAAGAAAGAGGAGAGAGGCGGGATTTGTATTAGCAAAATGTCCATTTCGGAATTTTCTGTTTGTATTTGTAAAGACGCAGCTCTTTTCATAAAAAACTTTTGTCTAAAGTATAGTTGAATTGTTTCATATGCACTTGCCTTGTGTTTACACCCTCTGATTTATGTATCTCGTACCTTCATTGGTATTGTTTGTACCTTCCAGAGAGTGTTGTATTGATGTTCTATATTATATATATGTCGTACCTCCCAGGGAGTGTGTTGTACTGATGTGCTATATTATATATATGCCGTACCTCCCAGGGAGTGTGTTGTATTGATGTGCTATATTATATATATGTCGTATATACCTCCCAGGGAGTGTGTTGTATTGATGAATTTGACAAGATGGAGCAGCGAGACCAGGTGGCCATTCACGAGGCAATGGAGCAGCAGACCATCTCCATCACCAAGGCCGGCATCAAGGCAACGCTCAACGCCCGCACCTCCATACTGGCAGCTGCAAACCCAATTGGAGGGAGATACGACAGGAGCAAGTCGCTAAAGGTGGGAGCGTGTATGTAGAAACACTGTATACAGTGGAACCCCTTATCTATGAACACCTGTGAAATGAGGACACCTCTCCAATAAGGACACCTTTTCTTTCCCCAAATGTAAGCATGCAGTTTAACCCCTGAATAAGGACACCTTTTCTTTCCCCAAATGTAAGCATGCAGTTTAACCCCTGAATAAGGGCACCTTTTCTTTCCCCAAATGTAAGCATGCAGTTTAACCCCTGAATAAGGACACCTCACTTATATACACACTTTCTTCCTACCCATTAGTGTGTTCATTTCAGGGAGTTCAATTGTGTATATAATTATATAATGGTTGCATTCGCTTGCAAAAATGCATGTTTTCAGCACCCGCAATAAATTGCAAAACACGTTTTTGCAGCAAAATATCAACCTGTCTGCTCCAATCATGTCCCGGTTTGACCTTTTCTTCATTCTGGTCGACGAATGTAACGAGGTAGGTGTGCGCTAATCACGTGATTGTCACATGATTTGATCACATGACATCAGGTGACAGACTATGCTATTGCCCGGAGGATCATTGATCTCCACAGCAAACAGCAGCAGAGCATCGACCGAGTGTACTCCATGGTATATGACTTTTAAAATTGTGAAATTCTCCTGATTTTTCGAAGTGCCGAAGTATTTTTCGTTGTTTAGCACACTGTGCATGCTGGCCAATTGCATTGCGAAAATTCATTGTTGGCAATTTATTCGGCATTTCATTAACCATCCATCCATTGCCGTTTTTGATCAAATTTGTGTATTTTCTGCCGAATCGTATAAAAGTTTTATCCATCAAAAGGTTTCCTCTCTGCTACATATGAAGGCATAATAAATTGATGAGATGTTTGGTGGTGTCACTTGCAGGAAGACATCCAGAGATACGTGATGTTTGCTCGCCAGTTCAAACCAAAGATCCGCGAAGACAGTGCAGAATTTATGGTTGAAGAGTACAAGAGATTGCGCCAGCGGGACAGCAGTGGTGAGCCAATTTATCTCACTTTTTCTCTCAGGTTTGACTCTGTTTTCGTGTCCTGATAATTGCCAGGGGCTACCCGGTCGTCGTGGCGAATCACGGTGCGTCAACTGGAGAGCATGATCCGTCTGTCGGAGGCGATGGCGCGACTGTCGTGTAAGGACGAGGTGCAGCCGAAACACGTGAACGAAGCATTTCGTTTGCTCAACAAGTCCGTCATTAGAGTGGAGACCCCTGATATTAACTTCGATGACGAGGAACCGCAACAGAATATTGAGAACGGTATGAGAATATTGGCTTATGGCAACCTGTCGGGCTTTGTAGAGGACCAGGGTGACCTTATGAGCAAGTATAGACTAACCAGCCATCCTCAATACTTTGACTATGTGCAGTGTAGTAGGGTGGCCTAAACTTTCGTACTTTTAGAAAGAAGGTGGGGAGAAGGACAGACCAACTACCGATCCTGAATACCTTGACTATTGCTGGAGTGTGCAGTGTATAAGAGTAGGGTGGCCTAAACTTTTTGTACTTTTAGAAAGAAGGTGGGGAGAAGGACAGACCAACTAAAACCTCAAATGCCTCGACTATACATACAAATAATCATGGTTTGCTACTGTTGTTCTAGGTGATGCACTGGATGAACCAGTGGAAAATGGAGTAAACGGCGAGGTAAATGGAGTAAGCGAGGACCCCCCTAGAGAAAATGGAGTAATAGAGGACGACGGTAGAGAACAGGAAAAACAAGTCGAACCGGAAAAGTCGGCCAAGAAAATCAGAGTGACATACGAAGAGTATCGGACCATTGCCAATCTGCTCATACTCCACCTGAGACAACTGGAGGAGTCCTCTGAAGAAGAAGAAGGTGTGGCATGTGACGGTCATGTGATCCAGGCAGGTGATCATGTGATCCCTCCCAATATCATGTGACTGATTTTATGCGATCCTCCATGTGTTGCATGACCTAGGAAAGTGGTCATGTGATCAATCTATGTAATCATGTGACACAGCAGGTGATCATGTGATCCATCCACACATCATGGGACTGTCACATGACCCGATTAGGTGATCATGTGATCTCCTCCATTCACTCAGGGGAGGGGATAAGGCAGGGACAACTGGTCAACTGGTACCTCAGTGAGATCGAGGGAGACATTGACAGCGTCGAGATGTTAGCGGAGAAAAAGGTGCTAGTGGAGAAGGTCATCGAAAGACTCATTCATCACGTGAGAACTAGACACCAACGAAAACTCTATAAGATGAAATTTTTCATGAGCTTTCACAAGAGTTGTGGGCAGGTTATTCCACAACTTTCCATGTACATACTTACGCCAACAATGTTTTGCCCAAAATTTGCTACCATTAATTTTGAGAGAGCCATGTTTCTCCCTTTCTGGGTGGGTGTGGAAATACATACCTCCTGAACTTCTGCATAATACACTTTGGTGGTTGATTTTTTTCCGTGCAGGACCACGTTTTGCTGCCACTGCTGATGGAGGAGGAAGAGGAGAAGAAGGGAGATCCTCTGCTTGTAGTTCACCCCAACTACGTCGTAGAGACCTAACTAACTCTTCATCCATGCATTCCTCTTCTCACACAGACACCATTGGGAACACCACTTCATAATGTCTTTGTCCATAATTTGTAACTGGTGTAAGTGTTATGATGAAAAATTTGACACGCTGTGCATATTATTATCGCTGAAGTTCTCAGATTTAGGGTGGCACACTCGTAAACGAATGATACAGGTTTTGAGAGTGCTGCATCTATCGCTAAAGTTTGAGTCTGTACCATGACACACAGTGTTGGGGATGATGCATGTGAAGTCCTGTGTCATAGACTCTGCAAGTATATATGAAACACTCAACTTTACAAGAAAATTGCATGAGTCACATCTAATGCACCTGTTGCTTGTACTTTGAGCCAGTAATTCTCGCGTCTCGGGCCATCATTCGCCTGTCCCAGCCGTCAACGGACCACCTCTTGTTCTGGAAATATTCCCCTGAAAATGGCGGATTGGAAGCAGTGCTTACCTTCCCGCCGCGCTCCCATCTGTTGAGAAAATGGAGTCCTGCGCCTGCGAACGTGATTGCTCCGGCTATGATCCCCAGAGCCGGCAGAGCTTCTGGCCACATCTTGTTTTGTTGCAGCTAAAATTACTCTAAATAACGCGCATTTATAGATCACGTGATGTGTGTGTGGATGGTGTGCGTTAATAAGAAAATTTCGCTGTTGCCAACAGAGACGGAGCAACAAAAATCATGACGGAAGACAGCCGTGCAGCAACCGGCACGTACACAATCAGGCCGCGTTTCGAGCAAAAGTGAGCCCATCTCTCCAGCATTTATCCATCCAGAAGGTCGTTTCTTTGCTCCCTCCCCTAGGTTTCGGCCGCAAGTGGTGGAAAAGTTGATCCATGCAATTCTCGTGGAGGGACTGAGCGACAAGCAGTACAGCCAGGACCTCTGCAAGACTTGGACAGAGCAAATTAGCGACTCAATCAAGACTAAATTAAAGGGTTAGAGCAATATTCTGGTCTCCCTTACACTCAACTGTCTGGTTGTTGTCCCCCCACCTTCCAGAGTTGAACCTAGACAGGTACAAGTATGTTGTGCAGGTGGTGATAGGAGAGCAGAGGGGAGAGGGAGTTAAGTGAGTTTCTGGGAACATTTAGCATTTGTCAGCAGGTCACAATAAGTATTATATTATAGTTCTATGAGGGAGCTCCTCTTACGATAGATACGTAGTCTTTTGCTTGAGGTTTCTTTGTTCTCTGGACGCAATAGCTATTAGAGTAATGAAGTATTGCTTGCGCCAGAGTCAACTTTGAGTCTAGTGTTAAATGATGATTGACTATTATGCATATGCTAATACACTATGCTCTAACTCTGTCAGGATGAACTGTAGATGTTTCTGGGACTCTGACACAGACAACTATGCCCGAGATATCTTCATGAATGTGAGCCATTATCCTAACCCTAGGAATCAGTTCCAGTGTATATAGTGGAGCCAATGAAGTGCTGGAAATCCTTGCCTGCCCCCATCTACCCTGTTTACACATTGAACACTTCCAGCATGCTCAATAGATTGCACTACTTCAGTTTTGTAAGCTCAATAATTACATGTATACATTGAACTATTCCACAACGCTCAACACATTGAACTTGTATATGCAGTATATACATGGAGCTATGAGCAATTCCACGCACAGCAATGTTCCATAGGTGTGAAAACATGAATGGTTACTGAATGGCTACATACATAATTATACAACTGCCATTCCTTCTCATGTTCTCTCCACCTCCCACCAGGAGTCACTATTCTGCGTGGCAGCTGCATTTGGTGTGTACCACTACTGAAAAACACCCTACGGCACTTTTATCACTTTTCTTTCAATTTCTAGTGAACTCTATATACACTGTATATAATATTTCTATATCGTGTTTGGCAATAAATACACATGAATACACATAACGTGGGAAGCTAAACAATACTCCCTAGATGAGCTAGCTGAGTTACTTGAGATGCTTGAGCAGTGACTTTGCCGCCTGCAAGTTGAAACGGTTGCCTTTTACAACAGCTGCAAAACTCGTGGGCCTTTTTTGAAACAGAACACCAAAAGAGACTTACACAATGGTCGATGCAGTGGATAAAGTCAAACAGTTCTTCAGTACATGTCTCTGAAGTCTTGCTTTTGCTAGATACCCGTTCGCTGCATGTGTCTAGTTTCTCCCTCAGCGCTAAGCACTTCTTGGTCTCCCCACATTTCTCTCTCAGGACCTCCTGAGGGTCTTCCGGGTCCTCCTCCTCACCTCCGTCGACCTGTGGGATAGCGAATTCTAATTAGAACCCACGCTTCCCTAGACTGCGAATTGATCACCGTTGTAAGCGCCTATTTTACAGAGAAAAGTAGGGTCTCTTATGCTCCTGTACCTGTATGTCTTCTTCCTCTGACATTTTAGCTTGAGGGAGAGGAGTACCAACGCCGAAACGCACACACGCCCACAAAGAAGACAGCGGAAGAAGGCTAAAGGTCAAGGTTGCTGCGCTCTAATTAGAAACGGCAAGGCTGCGCTCCAATTAGGAAAGAACTGGGCGCAGATGCAGAACGGTGTGAGCGTTCCTAGCCTCGTGAAGGAGTTTTTCCGGCCGCTGAGCGGGTTGCTGGACTACATCTTCGCCGCGGGGGTTGCGTATGGCGCTGTTCGTCTTGGGGGGCTGTGTCGAAGCTGCTTGGGCGGCTTTCGAGTCTACTGTCTGCCCTTCGGCAGATGCGATGGGTCAGATTTGAAGAAGCGCTTTGGGGAATGGGCAGGTGAGGTGGTGGGAATGGGCAGGTGGGTTGAATGCGCGTGCAGTAGACAATAAAGGTACGCTTTAGAGCACTTGCTGTGTGGACCACACCCTTTTAATTTCCGCAACTCTTTACGATCGATCTTTGATTTCCGCAGTAATTGTCGGAGCTACTTCCGAGATCGGACAGGCCTATGCTGAAGAGGTATGCATAGTAGAAATAGCACATGCATAGGTAGTAGTATATGTCTCTTTCTCTTTCTATTCTAGTACAGCTGGCCGTGATGGAACATGAACGTGGGTGCTGCGAATCAGTAATGCTTATGACGACCTTGTTCTTTTGGTGGCAAAGATACGTGAGTGTTTGGGCATCTCTACGTATATGTGTATTTTAGCTCTATGGCGTGAGTAGGATGTCAAGTTTTAGCATGATGCATTTTCTTCTGTGATGCTAGATAGTTCTTTAGTGGGCAGGCCCTTTAGATCATGTTAAAAGAGATATAAATGCGTGTAACCAAGTTGCAATCTAATTCAGCCCTTATTTCCATGTGATAAACTACGACACTCCATTTGAGAGGGGAAGTGGGTGCAGTTTTCACCCCTGCAAAAGCCAGCAAGGTCCATTAGCTCAGTCGGGTAGAGCGTGGTGCTGATAACGCCAAGGTCGTGAGTTCGAGACTCACATGGACCAATTTTTATCTCTAACCCAAACTTTTTCCACGTGTGTTTATTTTTATTCTCCCAGAGTCAGAATACAGTGTTCAGGCATATGGTATCCATGCCGACTTCATGCTGGGTCGCCACGTGTACCAGGAGATTTATGACGCTCTGCAAGAACTTGAGATAGGCATATTAGGTGAGCAGGCACCCTTACAACAAGATGTTCATTTCATTTGTGGAGGACGAAGCAATTTAGCATCACCGTACGTACGTCTATAATTAACCATGTGATCCTGCGGGCAGGCATCTGATTATACGAAATGTGGTGGCAAAATGTGATTGGATAGGAGTTTAAATCTTTCATGTGATGCGGTTTTGGATTAATATTTACATGTGTAGTTTAGGCGGCAATTTTTAGATAGGGGAAGACAATTTGTTCCCTTGCCACTCCCCCCTATTGAAAGTCTGCCTTTTTATCCGTATCTGCAGTGAACGTTGCAGCTGTACACTACGACCATCCTCAGTACTTTGTTCTAATCCCTCTACTGGTGAGGAACATTCTAATGGGGTTAAATATAATTTCTCTACAGGGTTTAAATATAATTACCCATTTCCGTTGCAGAGATTGCTTCAGATCTTGGACGAAAACGTTTCTGCTGCAACTGTGGTAAGTTCGTCATGTGACTGTCACATGACATCACGTGATCAAGCTGTCCCCCGCCCACCCCAGATGACTTACCAGCTCCTGCCCCAGATGTTGGAGAGGCAGCGTGGTGCCGTTATTAACGTCTGTTCCCAGATCTCTTGTCTCCCTCCCACCCCACTTCTCTCTGCTTATACTGCCTCTATGGTGTGTGACTACCGTCCAAAGACACCCCTGTACAACTTTTTTGCACGAAATTTTACCCCTGAATTGAGAGACAGTACATGTTGTTATAAAGATCTGTGATGTCATTTGCACAGGTTTACTTGAGAAGTCTGTCAGAATGTTTGCAACTTGAGAGTAGGAGAAGAGGAGTTATAGTCCAGGTGTGTTGTATTGTTGTATTGCTGGCTTTGAACCCTGCCTGCTACGCTGCCCGGATAGCTCAGTCCGTCAAGCACTGCACAGAGAATAGAGTGTCAAGAGATCTTGGAACAGACGTAGATGGGTTTGAGTCCTATCTAGAGCAGCTATATAGTCCTGGGTTTTGTTGATATGCGTTTGCCAACTACTCTGCAGTCTATGCCAGTATGTAATATACTCTTGGTTGAAAAAGATTTCACCCAGCCCCAGCCATGCTATTTCATGGATAAAGCTTGCAGACCTACATAACTCCTTACTCTGTTGTTGTTCAGACTCTTCTCCCTGGGTTTGTGGCAAGCTCCACGTGCCGTCCGACATTCTTCACTCCGTCTCCCACTACCTACGTCAGACACGCTCTGGCTACTCTCGGAGTGGCCTCCATCACCTGTGGCTACTGGCCACATTCCATACAGGTATTGGCCCTATTCCATACAGGTACTGGCCACATTCCATACAGGTACTGACCCCAATCCATACAGGTACTGGTCCTATTCCATACAAGTACTGGAATGAGACACGGGGCAAAACAGCCCCTCTCCCTTGTCTTAAAACTTATTCTATGGCCTGACAACTCAAACCTACGTTGTCAACATCTGCAAGCATGCTGTGTGTTGCATTGAATCCTCCCCCCCACACACACACACAGAGCTGGCTGACTAGCTGTCTCCCCCAATGGCTGTGGGTATGGGTTGTCTCTCTCCTCTTCCGTCGTCATCGACTGCAGAGCATCACTTTGGCAAAGGAACAAGGTGTACAGGCATGGAGATGTTTTTACTCCTTTCTCGTAAAAACCACAAAACACAGTTGGACCTCTGTATAAAGGACTTGCTGGGACCATGGAAAATGACAGAGGTGTCCCTTATTCTGAGGTTACATAACAGTAGTAGTACAAGAGCTTGTGGAGAAGTGTGCTTTTAAGCACCGTTGGCCACCCACTCATGTGCATGATACCTTCATGATATTTTTGTTTGTCAAAAATCACCAAAATCTGCAGGAATGGAGCAATTCACTCGTCGGAGGAAAACGAGCATGCCCAGTGGACCACTGGCCCTGCCTACCAGCCGCCGCCCGGCAACCACGACAGCCCCGCCCGCCGCTCTCCGTCGCGTCTCTGGGAACCTCGGCGTCACCCTCCGTCGCTCCCCCTCCCCCCAGAGGAAAATCTCGGGGGGGACCCCGACTAATTTCCAGGGGGGCACCCCCCTTCGTCCCATGGATTCATTGTTCCATCGGACAGGAGCTAATGTTCCATCACCAATTCCCGAATCTCCATTGTCCCCTCGGTTTTTCTTCCAGGAGGGCTCAAACGATATTTCCCCCAGCACCAGCACACCGCTGGGGCCCAATATTGGACCCCCCAAACCCTCGTTGTCGGCGGCAACCAGACCAGAGACGGTTCAACTGAGACCACGCCCATCAATTGTGTACGTGTGTTTATCAGTGTATTCAGTGGCTTTGAAATGCGTGATGTTTTCCAATCCAGTTGCTTCTTATAGGCGCTCACGTCACTTGCCCAACTATAGTATTGTCGAGGTATTATTATATATAGCTCTTTACTTCCATACATACAGATATTCGAAAGTGACGGTCATGCCCAGCCTTGTGCGTTACTCCCAGCAGGCAGAGGACGAGCCACTGTCCCTCCCAACCAGCAATGGTGGACCTCAGAATATGACCGACAAACAAACCGACTCCCAGGAAGAACAAGATGATGTTGAAAGAGAAGAAGACGATGAGGAAAATGAAGAAAAAGACGTGACTGCTGATGATACTTCAACCAACAAAACCAGCTGACTTCAATTAGATCAATCACAGTCTGCTGTGCCCCGATATCACATGTGGCAGTTTGTGCCTAACAAAACTCTGATTTTACTATTACATGAACTTCTGTTTCAGTCCAGTCGAACTATTATAGTCAGTAGCCGATTTCTCCCAAATTGATATATAATTATTATGGCTGTAATTATTCTTGTGCATTCATTTATGTACTGTAAACTGTGCCTGCATTTGTAATGATGGAATTGAAATGGATCATCATATTAATATTGTTATAAATGTTCGATGATGTTGTATATAATGATATTATTATTGGTGCATATCGGTACAAAGTGGTGAGAAAATGAGACGAAAGAAACTGCGGAGTTTAAAGTGGCATTTTCCTTCCCTCGACGCTGATGGTTACAGCGTGCGACGACTTTCCTCTCATCTTTCGCTGTTTCTCTTTGTTTATCTGTTTCTCGTATCTGTTCATCACCTTTTTACTTGGACCCTGCATCATGCAAACAGTGGAAAATACCAAAAATGAAACCCCCTGGTCACCGACCATGAAAAAAACGGGGTGGCCTACGGTTTCGTACTTTTAGCCAGTAAGGGGAGCGAAAGACAAGCCAAAATACCATTCTGAATGCATTTACTATAGTTAGAGATTGCAGTACAACACTCAGGAAGTTCTTACTTTCAGCCACTAAGCTGATGGAAGTATATATAATTATACAGCAAACTAGTCATCTGAATATTGACAATAGCTAGAGGGCAGTGCAGTGCAATATTTTGTGAGTGACTGGGCACTAAGGTGGCCTAAAGGTTTAGCAAGAGAATGGAGGAAAGAACAGGCCAACTAACTATTTGTAATACCTTGACTCTAACTGTACAGTGCAGTGTAATGATAGGAAATGAAATGTGAAAATAGATGGCCTAAAGGTTGTTATACAATATTATAGAGGGAGAAAAGGGCTGAAGAGAAGAGAAAGGTGGAGAGAGAGAGAGAGTGGGAGGAGAGATCAACTCACGCTCTTGAATTCCTGCTCGACCCTCCACTTTGGTCTGACCACATAGTCTTTGGTGGAAGGCATCGGGACGCGAGCTCTTCCGATCCAACCTTTTTCTCCTGGCTTGGCTGGTCTGTGGAAGACAAAACCAATAGTAGTAGTACTACGTACCACAGAAACTATGCTGCAACTGTTACTTTTAGTGATATTCATGATATTGCAACTGCTACGATATTGCGCTTGAGCTAGCATTCAACCCAAACTTACAGTAGTTGGTTTGCGCCGTCTGTGTATTCGCATGATTAATTGCATGCACCTCATCTGCCAAGCTGGAAAAAGCCCCAGCAAGAATCATCGGGTGTAAATGGGAAAAGCAAGTGCTAGAAAGTGCACGGCAGCAGACCGATGAGTCGACCAAGTCGTGGTTGACCACCGGGCATGCGCACTGGCTAGCGAATACGCATGCGCTGGGGTACCGGTATACCACGAGCGAGCGCGCGAGCGAGCTAGAGCGCGCGAGGGGCGGGCGCGCGTGCAGGTGCGACACGATGACCTCACGATCAATAATTGCTGACTTGGCAGCTATATACGACGAGTCAATGGCGTTTCGCCATGCCATACATTGGCCATATCGTGAAGCTCGTACTGCCTCGGAACTTGCAACTAGATCCAGTATCGTTTGAGCTCTGAGGCCCAGAGAAAACCCACTGCTGAGGAACGAACACGAGGGTAAAGTTTTCCTTTGCTTACCTTCCGCTCTTAGCCACGAATGCACCGAAAGTGTAGCTGACGCAAAGATCTACCTTTCTTGCAACCGTTCCGATGCTAAGGTACGGCAGCCTAAGCATAATTGGCGAACAGTGCCATGTTCAAGAGCCTACGCCTCAGCCAATCAGGGCATCGGCCGGGGGCCTTCCGCGCGCGCGCGCGTATGGTGCGCAAAATGGGAAAAAACTCGTTAGTGCACGCACGCACGCTTTAGCTTACGCGCTAAAGTGCACGGATTACGCGCTAACGCGATCAAGACCGCTTTAGATCTACGCTAAAGCGTGTTCGCCTAACATACCGCGCTAAAGCTAAAGCGCGGTCGTCTAATGCGTCAAAGCGCTTTAGTCAAAACATCACAACGCATTACTTATCGCGCTCCGACATCCCGCAATTCAACCCGTGTTTGAAAAACTGGTTCGTTTGTAATGCGCAGCGTGTTGGTTAGCGCGCAATAACACCAGAGCGATCCGGCTAAAAACAGGTTGGGTTGAATTGCACGTTGGGAATGGAGCATTGATGCGCGCGATGGGCAATGCGATGTCAAGACGCGTTGAAAAAAAAACGTTTTAGCTAAAGCGCATAGACTAGCCAGCAAATCACTTTAGCACGGTGCACTTAGCACGGAAATAAAGCGCATGGCTAAGGCGGCTTTATCGCGTTAGCGCGTAAGCTAAGGCGGATTTATCGCGTTAGCGTGTAAGCTAAAGCGTGCGTGCACTAAGGATTTTTTTCCCATTTGGCGCACCATACGCGCGGTAGCGTATACGCGCCCGGGGCCCAACGCGCGCTAACCCACGCGCATGCGCATTGGGCAGCGTAAGGACATAAAACCGCGCCGTCGCCCGCAGAAGGAACGAGTAACCAATTAGCGGATTTCCTAACTCACGAAAAATGAAAACGTTTCTGTGCACAGTCTTTCTGCTAGCTCTGGCAGCCACTTTCATTGACTGCCATCCCGAAAAGAAGCAAACTGATGATGGTTGTTACCGTTGATACCGTCGAAGGTACTTACCTCTACAACTGCACTTATGGGTTTGCTGAAAGCTCAGAGTCTGCCTGTGATTGCGACGCTTTACTCCAGTCGTACACCTCTGACTGCTCACAAATTGAAGATAACCAGTTCGACAAACGCCAAGATTAGCTGTAAAAGTAAATATCCGTGAATTCCTCAAAGACATAATCTGCGGCAGCAGTGGTGCTGCTTCAGTAGTGGCATCTTCTCTGTTTTCAGCTCTACTAGTGGGGCTAACTGCAGTTCTCAACTAAGAAACTTTTGAACTTACAAACCTGTAGTGAAACCGACTCGAATAGATGGTAGTATAGAAAGTATAGCACTATTATTATTATGTTCTTGTATATGTAAATGTACCGAGATTAAAACTTTCGTTGAGAGATAAATATTTGAGGGACAAAAAATCATTGAAACCTCATAGCTTACTAAAGGTGTTCATACACCTCACAGTAAAATTTATATAGGAAGAGTAGCTAAGCCTTGCATGTGTGAGAGGTGGGCCTCCTTCAAAACCCAGCTTATGCTCATGCACATTTCATGGGTTTTCGAAGGAGGCCCACCTAGCTAGGCCTAGGAACATTAGCAAGCAAGTTCATAGCACAATGAAAAGCATGTGGATTTAAAGCAGTGTGCATGTGACACAATGGAAGGATGTGATTGGCTGAAGGTCACATGACCAACACTAAGTGGTGCGTTATACCACTGTGCTGCAATTATGGAGGCGAGAGATTATTGACAATCGATGGGGTATTATAGCAAACTGTACAGGTCATACAATGTATGAAATGGTTTTGGATTTCACTATAGATGTATGATAATATTAAGTGGGGCACATTGCTTAAGCCAGTATTGGATACCAAAGACCATGGGTAAGCCACAAAACTAGGGAATTAAGAGCAATTTTTTCACTGACGTACTGTGAATTCCGGATCAACACCTACAGGTCTATTCTTTAACCACAGCATAACCCACACAAGTTTAGAAATTATATTACATCTTACTTGCTACCGCCTTGCTAGCTACGGTGCCACCTGCTACTGCAGTAGTTCTTGCATCATTCCTGACTACCTGTTTGTTCCAGGTATTAATGAATATTGTGAGAATATAGACAAACCCTTTGAATTAATACTTTAATTGTACCTCGCAGCACATGAATCTTTAGTTACAATGGCTGCTCCCACAATCAATATGTGGTAACCAAGGTGCTTTGCTATGTGCTACCATTTTTCCTGAGCGAAATGAAGTAATCCAAGGGGTGTGTCTACAAAACTCACAACATTCACTACACACAGGTGGTCAGAGGAACGATTGAACGATCCTCGCAGCACATGAATCTTTGGTCAGAGGAACGATTGAACGATCCTCGCAGCACATGAATCTTTAGTTACAATGGCTGCTCCCACAATAAATATGTGGTAACCAAGGCGCTTTGCTGTGTGCTACCATTTTCCTGAAGTAATTCAAGGGGTGTGTCTACAAAACTCACAACATTCACTACACACAGGTGGTCAGAGGAACGATTGAACGATCCTCGCAGCACATGAATCTTTAGTTACAATGGCTGCTCCCACAATAAATATGTGGTAACCAAGGCGCTTTGCTGTGTGCTACCATTTCCTGAAGTAATTCAAGGGGTGTGTCTACAAAACTCACAACATTCACTACACACAGGTGGTCAGAGGAACGATTGAACGATCCTCGCAGAACATGAATCTTTGGTCAGAGGAACGATTGAACGATGATTTTTAAAATAGCAGGTGGCACTTTGTGTTTACCATCTTCTGGCTTAGTATTATGGCGCATATCGTTTAGCTCTTTCCACATTTGTGATCTTTTCCGTGTGTTGGTTGTGGTTTTGATAACTGACCGTTAAAATATCAGACTTGTATGCATTGCTGTCAGAGGATCCATTGAATGACGATACTTTACAAGCACATAAAGTGGGTTAGTGAGACCTTCCACTAGGGCTAGCCTATCTGAGACATGTAATATTGTGATGAGATCATAGATCAATACGACAGAGAAAGGGCCCACTTTCACTACAGCATGTATCCAAACATTGAAATATTCATGTAAAAGGCAGCAGTCCCATGTCTGTGTATGTAGAAGAGCCTTGTTCTATTAGTAACGTGTGACACACAGGAACATTTTGTGGTATCATGCGAGAATTTAGGTACACACCGCACCAAAAACGAGTACGTATTTGATCCATTTTCATAATTAAAAGTGAGACTTATAATCTGGTGGAAAATATATAGACTCACTCGTATTCCTCCTCCTGTGCGTTCTTCTTACTTGGATCACTGCTGGAACTGTAAACAACCACCGCAAAATGTTCACGGGACGAGAATTTCACACACAAGTCCAACCAAACTTATTTCTTCGCTAGTGCATGCAAAAGAGCTATACACCTACGTGTACTACATTCTCACGTTTTGGCGGAATTATAGTATCTTGTAAAACCAATGTTCGCCGTGCAGTATAATTATTCCGACCTTAATCTTCTCTTGTTAGCCTGTGAGAGGTTGGCATAGTCCCTCTCCTCTCTCTCGTCCCTCCCAAGACTCTTGAAATCTGATGCCAGCCCAAATATCGGTCTGGCCCATTCGTCTGTGTAAAAATACACAACACAATGCATTATACCAGCTATACAATGAGGGTGTTTATGTAGGTAAATGAGTGGAAAAAGAGACAAACCAACTATGCCTCATACTTTGACTACAGTTGGACTATGGAATAGTGGCATACTCTATCTCGCTGCACCTATTCCTATCTTGCCCAATTATGCTGTCCCCCCAAATAAGGTGTCAACGATTTTGCATTTCTTGTACGAACATGAGAGCAAGAAGAGACAAACTAACTATCCTCAATACTTTGACAACAGTTGGACTATGGAATAGTGGCATACTCTATCTCGCTGCACCTATTCCTATCTTGCCCAAATTTCGCTGTCCCCCCAAATAAGGGTGTCAACGATTTTGCATTTCTTGTACGAACATGAGAGCAAGAAGAGACAAACTAACTATCCTTAATACTTTGACAACAGTTGGACTATGGAATAGTGGCATACTCTATCTCGCTGTACCTATTCCTATCTTGCCCAAATTTCGCTGTCCCCCTAAATAAGGGTGTCAACGATTTTGCATTTCTTGTACGAACAAAAGAGCAAGAAGAGACAAACTAACTATCCTCAATACTTTGACAACAGTTGGACTATGGAATAGTGGCGTACTCTATCTCGCTGCACCTATTCCTATCTTGCCCAAATTTCGCTAAATAAGGGTGTCAACGATTTTGCATTTCTTGTACGAACATGAGAGCATGAAGAGACAAACTAACTATCCTCAGTACTTTGACAACAGTTGGACTATGGAATAGTGGCATACTCTATCTCGCTGCACCTATTCCTATCTTGCCTAAATTTCGCTGTCCCCCTAAATAAGGGTGTCAACGATTTTGCATTTCTTGTACGAACATGAGAGCAAGAAGAGACAAAATAACTATCCTCAATACTTTGACTACAATTGGAGTATGGAATAGTGGCATACTCTATCTCGCTGCACCTATTCCTATCTTGCCCAAATTTCGCTGTCCCCCTAAATAAGGGTGTCAACGATTTTGCATTTCTTGTACGAACATGAGAGCAAGAAGAGACAAAATAACTATCCTCAATACTTTGACTACAATTGGAGTATGGAATAGTGGCATACTCTATCTCGCTGCACCTATTCCTATCTTGCCCAAATTTCGCTGTCCCCCTAAATAAGGGTGTCAACGATTTTGCATTTCTTGTACGAACATGAGAGCAAGAAGAGACAAACCAACTACCCTTAATACTTTGACTACAGTTAGACTATGGAATCGTGGCATACTCTATCTCGCTGCACCTATTCCTATCTTGCCCAAATTTCGCTGTCCCCCTAAATAAGGGTGTCAACGATTTTGCATTTCTTGTACGAACATGAGAGCAAGAATAGACAAACTAACTATCCTTAACACTTTGACAACAGTTGGACTATGGAATAGTGGCATACTCTATCTCGCTGCACCTATTCCTATCTTGCCCAAATTTCGCTAAATAAGGGTGTCAACGATTTTGCATTTCTTGTACGAACATGAGAGCAAGAAGAGACAAACTAACTATCCTCAATACTTTGACAACAGTTGGACTATGGAATAGTGGCATACTCTATCTCGCTGCACCTATTCCTATCTTGCCCAAATTTCGCTGTCCCCCTAAATAAGGGTGTCAACGATTTTGCATTTCTTGTACGAACATGAGAGCAAGAAGAGACAAACTAACTATCCTTAATACTTTGACAACAGTTGGACTATGGAATAGTGGCACACTCTATCTCGCTGCACCTATTCCTATCTTGCCCAAATTCGCTGTCCCCCCAAATAAGGGTGTCAACGATTTTGCATTTCTGTGTACGAACATGAGAGCAAGAAGAGACAAACT